TTAGGCACTCGGCACAAGGAACCGTGCCGGTTCAATGCACGTCGAATCTATGTGCATAGGTCTTGTTCAATTCATATATATCATTGTTGAGATGTGCTTCCAGTGTACCTGCAGGTCTCTTTCTTCTCTGGGTTGAGCCATTCTAGACTACGACTTCTCTCAGTTATTCCACTGCAGGCTCTATTGTCTCCGACATGACAAATAATTGAGGAGGAGAGTATCACCATGACTATTGTGATCAAAATGTGATGATCTACCGTGGCGATAGCAGACATGCTGCGGACGACGGCCCGACTCCCGCAGCCGCAGTACATACAGCAGATCCCTGTGGGGTGCTGTGGCTCCTATTCCTAGTCCATACTCCAAATCCGAAGTCCATAGTGAATAATGGTCTCTGTAAGTCCGTCGTATGATCCATTTGCTTGGGGGCCCACTGCAATCTCCTGAAATAATAGTTCCAGGAGGAAACCTTGGAACTGCGTAGGGACAAGACCAATCACAGGTGATAGAAAGGAGCATAGGCGCCTGCGGAGTTTCCTCATCCAAAAGGTACCTCAGTTCCATTATCTTGAGTTAGAGCTTAGGAGTTCGGGCTTGTCCAATCCTGACCCCGCTCACTAACTTCGTTAGCCAAACTAGCTGGATGCTTTAGGTTCCGCAGCACAACCATGGGTAAAAGCCAGCCTCAACCGCCTGGATCTTCAGACGGTCAGGGCTCTAGTCGTCAGTCTAGCCGTGGCTCTAGTCCCGCGGCCAGCTGTCAAGGGCCAATGTCATCCAGTCATCTGCCACTGCACTAGGACGGAATCCGCAAATGCGGTGGCAATCAGGCAAGGCCAATGCGGATTTCGGCGCTCAGGATCCTGGTCGCAGACTGTGATGCTTGCAACCCTGCAAATTACAATCTGATTAGTGGCCAATCAGAAGTGTGTTGGACTAGCTCTTCATGCTATGACCTGGACAATGCGGAACTTATTTATGGACTGGTCTGAACTAGTCAATTTCCTAGTTTCCTTATCACCTATCTCCTCCGGACTCCGTAGTTTTTTTGGCACAGGCAACGAGCGGGTTAAATCGGCGCAGTCAATTGTCCGGAACATGACTAGTTAAAGGTACTAGGTACATTTACTCATGAGTGAGGAACCTCTGAGCAAACATCTTTGGCCAATCATGATGTCAATCGGAGTCACGCTCACAATTCAATTTTACATTATCAATACCACTAATTGCAGCAATGGGGAATAATGATCGACTAAACCAGACTGCCCGAGTACTCACAGTAGCGACGGCTGTACCTTGCAGCTGCCATGCACTCCAACCTCCGTAACTAATCTAACTACCTCAACAACCTATCCAAGACCAAATCTGGATCCAAACCGAATGAACACCAGAAACGAAATCCTGCAGCGAAGCTAGCAAAACCAACGGATGGCCTACATGCGAAGGTTTCGGATTAGCTCGCAGACAGCAGTTCTTGGCCCGCAATGTGCATCCTGCAGGAATTTACCTAGGATTTAGTACTCCGTGTCTACTGCACTCTGTATCGGCAGGTACGGTGCAGAAAGGAATAGCTGTATCTTGATACTTTGTGGGTATTGGAAGTTTACAACTTGTATCTACCTTTGCAAGGATACTTATCTTCAGATCCTTCCTTCTCGGGCAGTCTTTGTATGGACTCTCCAGGCATACACGAATAGACTCTTCTCCATGTTACACCTGACTATCCTTTATGACCGGTGTGACATGGTAGGGATCGGATATGAGGTAGGTACCCTGTTATGAGTCCTGCTTGCAGTATCGGAATTTTTCTCTCGCCAATCACAGAAGCCAGCAGATCTAGTCTAGCGCGCAAGGCAAAATTATAGAAAGTTGCCTTGTCTCCGTACAGATACAGTTAGCATCTTGAAACTGGTCCTGTGCAACCCTACGGAGTATATGCTGTACCACACTGTATCTTCTAGAATCCAGCCTGGGTGGAATGGAATGGAATTGAATCGGAATCGCCACTCGCCAGCCTATCTGCCTCATGGCACGTTCCGAGATGATCGCATCGCCTCGAGTTTGCAATCTTCACGAGAATGAGGGTGTAACCTGCCTAGCAGGGATGCCCTGCAACCACTCCGAGAATATCAAATACTCCACCGGACATTTGAAATCGCCAGTTACAACTACCCTGGTGATATCAGTAACACTCGAGTCAGCCATGTCATATACGTACTCCGCCCGAAACGCCTACGAACCAATGATCTACTTGCTGATCCTGTCTTGCTGATCCTAAGTCCTGACGGCGCGAAGATAGATATTGCCCCCGACAGGGATCCGCCGTCTTGATGGGTTGATGATGCATGGGGGTTAGATTATCAGCGCCAACGGTCATGGTCAGTTTCGGCTTGGCCGCCAGCTTCGCTCCGGCGCTTGCTATGACAGCCTAGTCTACGGAGTACTGAGTACAGCCTACAGCAGGGCTAAGCATCGAGGCCACGGGATTATCATAGTAACTGGTAATTATACATGATGTGCATTGCAGGTAATTAACCTTACATTGCATCCCGCTCGCTGCATTTTGCGGATGCAGAGAGGCATATCAATAGATCAGAGAGGATCTCACTCAACAGGCGAAGAAATATATAATATATTCCTCGAGGTACTTGGATATCTTCGTTACTTTCCTAGTGCCGTACAGTACCCATGTACTGAATATGAACAAGATCTGACATCTCCATCCTGGCAGAATGGATCGCTAGATCATCGTCGGCGTGTAACCACAAGCCAAATCCCTGTTTGACTTGGATTTTGGGAGGTAAATTCCTAGTCCATACAGACAGAGGAAACGAATTCTGTGCAACAAGCCTTCAACAGCTGACCAGGTAGCTACCAACTGTTGATGACGTTGACCAATCGACAGAGTTGAAGACATAGCATGGTGGTCAATCGTCACGGACCTCCTCTCCTCTATTTGGACTCGGAGGGATTTCCCCTCAGATCATCACCCTCATCAACAGACACCAACAGCAACGACAATTTGGCCAGGCTCCTAGTTCCTAGGTAGTATCTACTCGGCAAGAAACAGAGGGGCAAGGTGGTGAAAAATTGAGGAATGCGATTGGTGGAAGTGAGAGCTCATCCTGGCGCTGCACATGTTGAGGGGCGTCAAGAGGCGGATCGACTGGCTGTCGGAGCGACCACGTAGTCGACGAGGGACACGGTCACCCGTGATGCAGCGAACCGTGAGCTTCCAGTGGCCACTGTTATCTATGCCATCTATTAGATAGAAGGTCTAATAATAAATTATTATTATGACAATGATAATAATGACAATGACAACGAAGACTAGCTGAATCAAGGGAAAAAAGCAACTAATAGAACCTACCACCGTCGCCAACTGGTCATGGTCACCACGTAACAACACCGCCGGAGATAATTCGAGTCAAATTACGCCGTATCGTAGCGAGATAGTCATCAATGATCGATTCATGGCTTGACCGCCGATACCCCCTTCGCCCTCGCCATGCCCCTTGCTTGATGGCGTGGCGCTGCTGTCCCTGTACTGTTAGAGTCCAGAGTACTCGGTACAGTACACAGTAGATACAGGACAGGATGTGCATACATTACCAGTATCTACCTTAGTGGAGCAGGGTCTGGTCTGCCAGGTCTGGCCGCCATCCACTCTTACCTTAGCCTGGCAAGTTTGCACTGGCAAATGACGGGATCCAAGTTTCAGCTGCAGCGACCCGTTGGTGCATATGCGAGTGTTGAGGGAGTAGGCCAGGGTGGATGATGGGATGGGGGATGGACGTGGATCGGTCCAACATCCACATCCATCCACCCATCCACCCATCCCCGCTTGCCAGATCATCACTTCTGATTATTACCTTGGTTTGTTGACTTGAAGGTGCACGGGTCAGATTCTGTCTCGACTATCGAATTATCCATGAATAAATTGGAATATGATACTATCAATTAGGAAATTCAGTACGCAGGGCTCCACCTGACTTGAAGGTGTCATCACACTCGTGATCTCCAATGGATGCAGAGGCTGCGGTCACCTCTCGCCAGTAGCCAGTCTGTTCATGCTCTGACAATGACATGTTCATGCTCTGCCAATGACAACCATGATCTACTTGCCTCATACACACTTACACAGTATTCAAAGTGATAATCATTTTGTCAAAAGTATGGCTATCGTGCATGACGTAGTCATGGTGTCTGTATACATCTGTACTACCTCGGATACTGTGCCCAGCACAGCCCAGTCTGTCCTATGTCCCATCAGGCAGTATGTACTATGTACTATGTACCCCCTTGATTCTCTACATGTCTCGCAAGTGCAGAATAGCCAGGTATACACGTGTATCTGCATACAGTAAGAACGAAGACTCAAGACATCAGGATCATGTCAGATATCCACCCCAGGAATGTAAATCGTTTCCCTGCTCATCCAACTCCAGCCAGCCACTACTATCAAGAGTCGATTGACCGCAACGTCGTCCTCACCGTCTTTTCCATGGCGAAGTCAATAGACAAATCTAGGTACTGAGTTCGATAAATCGCGAGACTGAGTGCCTTTCTGGTTGTACTCCATCTCAGCAATTTGTGCACAGCGCACAGTGCACCGTACACTGATGCTGCACAAGTTCTTATGCCTCTATGCAAAGTGATGTAGTCAACCTTATTTTGATACCACGTTGATGTCGAGTACTGTAGGATGTAGAGTATACGGCAGATGTACCTGTTCTGAGCTGTGATCTTAGATGTGAACAGATCAAGGAGGGCGTGCAGCTGTACATTAGATAAGGACAGGGATAACTTAATCAACTTGTACACTGCGCGTTGATCAGTGCAGAAATGCGTAGGCGTATATGTGAGTTTATTCGGACATCGACTTTGTATTATATAGATTGACACTGATATCTGAGTAATGGATGTATATCTGATCATATAAGTCATGAAGCGCGAGCTATTCAGACAAAGATATATATATGTCCGATGTACATGCTCAACTAGACATCCACCGGCTTCTGCCTCTCCCGAAGCACCCTCTCCTTCTGCAGCTGCTTAGCATACTGAACCCCAAAGCCATGTCTATACACCTCCCGGACCGATTCCAGCGGCATATTATGCACCTCCGCATAACAGAAGATGACAAACACCCAGCCGACAAAACATATTGCAGCATAGAACCCAAACGCCCCGCTCGGCGTCATCGCCTTCATCATCGACAGAAACGTCGACGAGATGATAATGTTGCATCCCCAGCAGGTCACCGTGTTCATCATCGTGCCGAGCGCGCGCACCTCCAGCGGCAGGAACTCCGTGCCGACCCATGCGATTGGGGCGACTCCGGCGGCGAAGAAGGCTACGTAGATGATGATGGTCACGAGGAGGAGGATGCTGGCCCAGCTCATCTGTTGCGTTTGGACTACGGTGAGGTCGTGGTTGACGGGGATCCAGTGGAAGGCGATGGCGGCAACTACTAGAGAGAGGGACTGTCGGACGGTTAGCCATCAGACAATCGTCTTGACTGTGAGGGAAAAAGAAAAGACTTGCCATTCCGAGGACAGTGATCAAGAGGACCACGCGTCTGCCAAAGCGATCAATGGACGCAAAGTTGGCGAAGCCAAACAGAAAGTTCGTCGCGCCGACCACCATCGACACGGCGGTGGGTTTGCTGAAGCCCACCATGGAGAAGAGCGTGGCGGAATAGTACATAAGAGTGTTGAACCCGCCCAGCTGGGATATAGCCATGACCATGCAGGCCGTGACGAGAGCGCGCACATTCTCGCGCACTGTGAAGAGCTGCTTCATCTGCCACCACAGGCTCCTCTCCGAGACAGAGACCGCCGCTTCCTCTATGGAATGCTGGATCAACCGCGCTTTTGCATCGACCTGCTGATCGGTAGCTCGCGGGAAGATCCTCTTCAGCACTCTCCGCGCCTCGTCACCACGACTATGCGAGATCAATTGACGAGGCGTCTCGGGACACCATGGCATTGCGGCGCCCAGCATATACCGACCATGTACCTCCAGCCATGGGCTACATCGGTGAACGCAGCCCCGAGAGCGTACGACACAAACTGGCCAAACGCCACACAGAGATTATCAAAGACGATCAACCGGCCGCGGAATCGAGCAGGCGCCATCTCGCCGATATATAGCGGGATGATCATGGCGGCGTTGCCGACACCAAACCCAACGATCAGTCGTCCAACTGTCATCTGGGCTATGGAGTACGCAGCGGCCTGGATCACGGTGCCCACGACGAAGAGCGCACAGCCGACATAGATGCCGAGCTTGCGTCCGTACTTGTCGGACGTCAGGCCGGCTAGTACTGCGCCTATCAGCGCGCCTCCGGAAGTGATAGAAGTGATCAGCTCTTGCTCGCTAGAGGATAGGGCTTTGCCTAGGTCGGTTCCCAGGTTGACCAATACAGCAGAGATGACGCCAGTGTCGTACCCTACGGGCATTAATTACTGATCCATGGCGTGTTCCGGTGGATACTAACCGAACAGGAATCCTCCCATGGATACTGTACAAGCAATCAGCCAGACAGTCTTTCCCGGGTCGGTCATCTCAATCGAGTCGTCTGGGTTCTCGTCGTGCAGATGTTCTTTATGGACGGCTTCCGCTTTGCCATCCAGTGACAGCTTCATAGAGTCGGCGTCGGAATCCATTGCGGATTGATCTATCTACGTCGTTATACTGGTACAGTGGTATAGAGCCGGATAATGCTGATAATACACTCCTTGTTGCTGAACAGTGAGATCAAGCATTTTATATCAGATGCATACAAACCCCTCACGCCAGATCTTGCAACAACCGAGCACTCTTGAGAATGAACAGACTCTACGCAACATGATACACGGGGCCCCAGATTTCCCCGCATTGATCCACCAGATTCCATACTTCAGAGCATTGGGACATCCGGCTATCGACATCAGATACCGGCGTGGCTTGCGGGATTGAGCCCTTTTCATGGAAACAAAAGCCGATCCTAGCTTGTTACCGCTGGAAGTGGCAGATCTATCGCGGGGTAAATGATCCTAATCTGATCGCCCGCGTGGGGTGTTGGTTGTTGGTTGTTCCTTGGTTGCGCTGAAGTATATCGTGGCAGTAGTCCGAAGAGGAAATATTCCCCGCATATGCATGTACAGCAACTGAGGAACTGGAGGAAGAGAACGATTCATGCTGATGACATGGCAATGTTTGGGCTTCCATGTTACAGTTCACAGCCCCCATCTTTGGTTCCGAATAGACAGCCTTCTTCTGTCTTCTAAGATATAAGAGCTTCTGGCTGTCTACTGCCATGTCGTGAATAGAACTTCCAACAACTAGACCCTATACTTCTTGAGCACAGTCATAATGTGGTCACTTTTCACAATTGCCCCGTATGCATGCATACTAGGCCTACTCTTCTTTGTCTATTTCATTGCCTATCCATTTGTGGAGTACATCCGGGACCCTAAAGGTGAGTCAAACCTGATATGAAAGACAAAAGCTGACTTGTTAGGCCTCCGGAGATATCCCAACTTCCACCCCTTCTCAGGCATGTCTGCCATTCCTTTCATGGTACTCGCATCCCGAGGCTTCCGTTCCATGGAGCTCATGAAACTACACCGGAAACATCCCGTCCTCCGTACCGGACCCAACGCACTATCATACGGGGACGTCCGCGCCATCAAGGACATCTACGGGCACAACACCAAGTGTATCAAGGACCCGTCGTACATCGTCACGGCAGGCACACACTACCATCTCGCCGACGTGGTCGACAAGCCCGACCACGCGCGCAAGCGCAAGGTGCTTTCCTCGGCGTATGCGCTCAAGAATCTGGAGACGTGGGAATACAAAGTCAGCGACAAGCTGGAGCGGCTGATCGCGCACTTTGACCGGGTCTGCACGAAGCCTCCCTCGCCAGCTGTGGCGGAGGGCAAGGCAGCGCCCGATCCGGCGGATCTGACGGTCGACTTTCGCGCCTGGACCAACTACTTTACTCTCGATGCCATTGCCGACATTGGTCTCTCGGAGAAGCTCGGCTTCCTGGACAGCGGCAGCGACGTGTGCGCTGCCGAGAGGAAAGACGGGACGACGTACGAGGTCCACCTCCGCGAAGCGCTGTATCCGACCGCGCGCAAGCAGTCGCTGATTCTGTGGAACTACGAATGGTACCCCGTGCTCAACAAGCTAGTCAATGTCGTTCCGTTCTTCGGGCGCATGCAACGCTCGTCAGACAACTGGGACAATATCGTGTGGCGGCGCGCATCCCAACGCCTCCGCCGCTACGAGGCCGGCGAGAAACTGGACGATTTCTTCCAGGCGCTGATGGAGGACAAGAACGGGCACCCAAACAACCTGGAATGGGGCGAGATCGTTGCCGAGGTCAACATCATGATGAACGCCGGCAGCGTGACGACCGCCATCGCCATCGCCAACGTCATGTACCAGCTCCTCAAGAACCCGCGCTGCCTAGCCAAACTCCGCGAAGAAGTCGACGCTGTCCTGGACGATGATGAGATCATCGCCCCCTACGACAAAGTCAAGCACCTCCCCTACCTCCGCGCCTGCCTCGACGAATCCCTCCGCATCTTCCCGCCCACCTCGCACGGCCTCCCGCGCCAGACCCCGCCCGAAGGCATGGAGATCCTGGGCCAGTGGGTGCCAGGCAACACCTCGGTGAGCATCTCGGCGCTGGTCGCCCACCGCGACGAGTCGGTCTTCCCGCAGGCGGACCGGTACATCCCCGAGCGGTGGCTGGGCGAGGACGGCAAGGCGCTACAGCCGTACTTTGTAGCCTTTTCTGCAGGCGCGCGGTCCTGTATCGGGCGGAATATCTCTTACCTGGAGCAGACCAAGGCGATTGCCTCGTTGGTGCATCGGTATGAGTTTGCTCTGCCTCATCCTGGGTGGGAGTTGAAGCGATTGGAGACGATGAATTTGATTTTGGGCGATATGCCTGTGAAGGTGTGGAGGAGACAACGAGATATGAGTCATATCATATAGCATGAATCCATGTCCTTGCATTTAGCACTATAGTACATCCTCCAAGCATAGCCTGCATAGGTAGTACTCGTAGATACTGTGCTGCGTGCATTACAGAGTAGTTCATAGTCCCTGACTCCCTGCACTAGTCCGAAAAAGGATAATTCATGAATTCCCACACATTCCTTTTCCTGTCAACTGTCAACTGTAGACTGTCAACATCCTCGTTCCATCATCCACGAATTACTCACGATAGGAGAAAATGGGTTATCATCCAATCGAACTCCGCATCCAAGTCCTCTCCCTCTCAGCCTTCGGCGTCCCACCCAAAGCCATAGCAGCAGGACTGGACATGCCCATCCGCAGCGTCCAGAGGATCATCCACCGCGCCAAAGAGCGGGGATTCGATCCCGCAACAAACCCGCGTGTCAAGATGGAGTACGTAGAGGATGCGGAGAGGTCTGGCCGCCCGAAGAAGGGAAGTAAGGTGGTGGCAGCGGAGTCGCAGGCTGGTTCTACATCTGGGTCTGGTTCTGGTGTTGAGGCCGAGTCTGAAGCTGGGGACGGGAAGTCGATGCCTGAGGCTGAGACTCAGGCCTGAGCCGACAAGGGGAGTTTTCCCCGCGGGGAATGTTTCCGTTTGGGGACGGGGTATTTGACTGCGTCCAACAGTACAGAGGTACTGCTTCTTGATGCTGTCAACCTTACGCGACATCTTCTCTCCTACTGTGGACGCGGACTTCTGCCCACTTGGTTTATTGTCTGTGCCACGATGCAACGCCGGTCAAATACCGATACTTGGTCGAGAGATACGATTGTGAGGGAAAGTTACCCCACGCTGTCGCAATGACTGTGTCTACATGTCGATGTCCATATATCTGGGGTTCATCCTGGCTGTCTTCCAGTAATGGCCATTGCAAGTGACTGTCTACGTTCATTATGTCGCTTTTCTCTCAGTGGAGCTCGCACCCCGAGGTTCTTCGGGATCTCTTCAAAGCAACCAGCCCTGCAAGTGTCGCCGATTATGCTGCTTTGACTGTCCTCAGCATCATAGCGGGAACCTATGTCTCCCGAGGCATTCTCTGGGACCGGCCCGATCCTTATCTCCATCTTGTGTACGAACGGCCGCAATTGAAGAATGGCGGCGCGGCTGGCTCCAATGCCAGTAAGCAGACCCGCAACATTGCTCAGAAAACGGATGAAACGGGCAAGAATGTCGTTGTCTTTTGGGGCTCCCAGTCCGGCACTGCCGAAGGTTTTGCGCACCGGCTGGCCCGCGAGGTCTCGCTACGGTTCGGTCAGGAGGCCATGACAGCCGACTTGTCCGATTATGATCCGGACTCTGTTAGTATGATCCCTGATTCCAAACTGGCGATCTTCATTCTCTCGACCTACGGTGAGGGTGATCCCAGCGACAACACCGCCGAGTTCTGGGATTGGGTTCACAAGACCCAGAACGTCTCCCTGTCCAACCTCCGCTACGCTGCTTTCGGTTTGGGCAACAGCAACTACAAGTTCTACAATCGCGTCGTTGACATCGTCGCGGACGCTCTGGATCGGTTTGGGGCTAAGTCGTTGATGCCCGTCGGCAAGGCCAACGATGCCGAGGGCACAACGCAGGAGGATTTCATGAGTTGGAAGGAGGATCTGTTTGCCACGTTCAAACAGCAGCTGGGTTTTCAGGAAGGCGAGGTCAAGTATATGCCGACGCTGTCCGTCCAGGAAGACGAGTCGCTCGAACCCATCGACCTTCACCATGGAGAACCGGACAACCGCCGCGACTCGTTCAAATCCGCTGCTCAATGCTCTCCCGTACGGGCAGTCGACATCAGCAGCACTAGGGAACTATTCACCTGCTCTGACCGCCACTGTCTTCACATCGAACTCGACCTCAGTAGTCAACCCGAGTTCACATACAAGACCGGTGATCATCTGGCCGTCTGGCCGGGCAACCCAGATGCCGAAGTGGACGTCCTCGTCAACGCTCTGGGACTTCCTCCGTCCCGCCACGAGGTACCCATCAGCATCACATCGCTCGACCCAGCAACTAAAGTGAAAGTGCCCACTCCCACGACCCCCATTGCCCTCTTCCGCTACTATCTGGAGATCTGTGCCCCTGTCAACCGCGACACTCTCCTCGGACTCTCCCAGTTTGCCCCCACGCCAGCAGCCAAGGACTTCCTTCTCCAGCTCGGGCAGGACAAGACCGCCTACGCCAGCTTTCTCAACCACACCCACCTCACCCTTGGCCGGCTTCTGCAGCTCGCTTGCCCCGATACCCCGTGGACAACCCTCCCACTCTCCTACCTCATCGAGACGCTCACCCTAGTCCAACCCCGCTACTACTCCATCTCCTCCAGCAGTGTCCTCGCCCCGCGCAAACCATCCATCACCGTCCTCGTCTCCTCCGCCCCGCTCCCGGCGAACCCAACCCAATCCATCCACGGCCTCACGTCCAACTACCTCCTCGCCCTCTCCGCGTCCCTCGCCTCGTCCCCCACCCCACGGCCTCACCTACCCACTCGCCGGTCCCAACGCCAGCCTGACCGGCGGCAAAATCCACGCCCACCTCCGCCGCAGCCGCTTCAAACTCCCGCTCATGAGTAAATGCCCGCTCGTCATGGTCGCAGCCGGCACGGGTCTGGCCCCTTTCCGCGCCTTCATCGCCGAGCGCCGCCAGCTGAGCCTCCTCGGCAAGGAAATCGGCGAGATGATCCTGTTCTTCGGGTGCAGGGCCCAACAGAGGATTTCATCTACAAGGAGGAACTGGAGGAGATGCAGGCCGCCCTTGGCGGTAAGCTGCGTGTCATCACTGCGTTCTCGAGAGTCAGCGGCCAGAAAGTCTACGTGCAGGACCGGATCGCCGAGCATGCCCCCGAGGTAATCCGGCTGATTGACGAGGGCGCGAACGTGTACATCTGCGGCCGGGCGGGGATGGCCCGCGAGGTGGAAAAGACAGTGGGGGAGGCGATGCGGGCTGCCAGGGGGTGGAGCGAGGCCGAACTGAACGAGTGGAGTAAGGCAATCAAGAGGAAGAATAAGTGGCAGGAGGATGTATGGGGGTAGTTTTCTGTCATAGTTGCGTGCCGTCTAGAAACTTTTCGTCCTATTGATATTTTACAAAGAACTTTTATTCTATTCTAGCCAGCCAGCTTGTAATCATATCGTCCATAACCATTTATTTTACTAGGAAATCAGTGATAAACGCTTCTCGGCCATCCGTTTCCCCGCCTGCGAGAAAATCTGCTGCCAGATCCCGACCCATTGCTGTTGTTTATACGACAGCACCTTCTGCGGGTCGCGGACCGTGCCCGCGAGAATCTCCCGGATCCGCGCACTGAGGATCTTCAGCGCGAGCATGGCCTTCCAGTCGCGGACCGCGAAGCGGATGCGGTTTGCGTCGATGGAGACAACTCCAGAGTACATCTGCACCAGTTAGTCAGAATTGTTCGCTTTTGCATGTCTGCAAAGGGGAAGGAAGGTTGTAGTGACTACGTACCTTGAATTCGGCCTCTCCGCACAGCAGTGCAATGGCAAAGTCATCGACGGCGTTTGTCTCAAATGCGTTGTAGTTCCGGTTGCGGGCCTGCATGATGTGGTAGTAGGAGAGCCATTTCAGGGAGGTGTCGGCGTGTTTGTTGACGGAGGTCGGGTGCAGTGTGACGGACTGGTTATTGGCGACGTTGCGCCAGCCCTTGCCTTCGCGGGTGAGCAGTTTCGGATAGAAGCTCCAGGCGATGACCGAGTTGACGACGACGTCGTTGCCGCTGTTTGTGTCGTACTCCTCGGGGATGGTGAAGAATTGCCGTTGGCGGCCGCCTGATCGCGCCCTGCGTGGTGTGAGTTTTAAGATAAATAGATATAGGGTAGGTGTGGGGAATACCTGTTCAGCATAGTCTTTTGGGTCGGATCCAAGGTTAGAAGCCCTGCATCTGCAAGGGAGACTATGAGCTGCATCTTGATGTCTTCGATGTTCAAAAGCGTCTGCGAACTGAGAAAGTTCTTCCGGCAAAAGGCATATTCGTTGGCCCCCGGTGTACTTCTCGTGCGCTTCCAGGCGCAGTACGCATTGTACACGGTCAGGAGGTCGGAATCGCCTGGACTAACATTAGCATAGACCTCGCTTGATCAATAATTTACCTACCCTTCTTGAATGAGAGCCTCGCAAGATCCTTCTGGTTGTTGGACCCCATAGTATTGACAAACGGCGATTTGGATGAGAGAATGGCGGCAATGCTAAGGCAAGCGTCTAGGCACTTGAAGAACACGCCGTGGATGATCAACTTTCCGAGGAAGACATCCAGGGGCATTTTGGCAAGTTGCATGCCCAGAGGTGTCAAGCTCTCCGAGTTGGTGAGAGCTTTGACTTCTTTCAGCGAGTCAATCGCACGGCGTATGTTCTTGGACGATGGTGGATCCAATGCCTCGAGGAGAGTCTGCTCCACTTCGCCGAGTTTACAGATCTTGACACGCAGTACAAGATCTTGCAAGGATAGCCGAAGCATCTCTGGTGTCTGCTGCTCTGCGAGCTGTGTGGTTGTTAGTATGAAAGGACTATGACAGGATTTTGGACATACCAGTCTATCATGTCGATGCTTGGTGAACAAGTGGAAACAGATACCGCTCTGCACTCGTCCGGCTCTTCCTCGGCGTTGCTTTGCATTAGCACGCGAGATAAAGGCCTCCACGAGCCTTGAAAGCTGTCGTCTCTCATCAAACCTGGAATGTGTCAGCAGGGACTTGCATGAAAATTGCTGCATGATACCCACCGCATCGTCTTTTCCTTGCCAGCGTCGATGACTGCTGTGATATCCGGGATGGTGATACCTGAGAAGTCAGCATCTGATAATCGTGGCAGCGTTGCAAACATACCTGTTTCTGCAATGTTTGTGGCAATGACAATTTTTCTCATGCCCTCGGGAGGCACAACAAACGCCTTTTCCTGGTCTTCGCTGGCAATGGAAGAGTGAAGTGCATGTACAATCCAGCCTGTTTGGAAGATTGGATCTGAAAGAATCTCATCATTCAGACGACGAATCTCCGCCATGCCAGGCATGAACACCAGGATGGCTCGGCTGTAGGGTGCCATCTCTGGTGCCGACGCGAGTTTCACTAGCAATTTTTTGATGAGCTGGTAGTCGAGACGGTACTCGTCGAAACTGAGTACTGTTTCGCGAGTTTGCTTGGAATACCCTTCAAGAGTGGCTGGCAGGCCACTAGCTGGGTCGCCTTCCCCGTTGTCTGACGGCGTATCGTCCACATCTTCATCAAACACAGTATTCGCCTCGTTTTCTAGCAGGCGATAGTTGGTCAGCTCGATCGCATCCTCCAAGAACTTCATCTCGACAGGAAAGGTCCGTCCAGGTATATTCAGCACAGGAACGCCACCGAGGTATGAAGAGAAACGTTGAGCCTCGAGAGTAGCCGACATCAGTATCAACTTCAGGTCTGGCCGTTTCTGCATTAGTCGCCGAAGCACAATCAGAAGGAAATCACTGTCAATGGTCCGTTCATGAACCTCGTCAAGAACAACATGAGTAATGTCCTGGAAGTCGTCGGGACGCTCCAACATCCGTACTACCACTCCGGTTGTACTGCATCAGATCAGTATGACTTCTGAAACTCAGGGCATGATACATACGCAAATACCAGTCTCGTGGATTGGCTGACTTTGCTTTCTAGCCTAACAGCAAAACCAATCAGAGACCTGGCAGTCCCAACGTCTGCCTTACTCTCCCCAAGCTCCTCACTGACTCTGCGCGCCAGGGATATAGCAGAGATCCTCCTAGGCTCCGTCACATAGATCTTGCAAGGACGACCTTGTTTCAACTCATGCTCAAGGATGAACGAAGGTATCTGCGTGCTTTTTCCGCTTCCTGTCTCACTGCAGATGATAAGGGCACGATGCGTGTCGAGCGTGTTGAGAATTTCGTCCTTGAACTCCCAGATCGGCAGGTTCATCCGTCCCTGAGCCATGTGTTGGAAGGATGGTGTGGAGGATTTCTCCGCCCATATTCTCTTCAACTGCTCATCAGACTCCTGGACTCTGGAGCCGACCCTCCCGGGAGACTCTGCTTTGCCAGCTGCGCCATTCCTCCGCCGGAAATTATCCGACAATACAACATCGTCTTCAAAGGTACCTTGGTTCTCTTGAATCAGCGTCCTAAGGCCCTTGACAATCTTTTTGTCACCTTCCTCCTCCTGAAGCTTTTTGACGTCTGCCAACTCAGTCCACAGATCCCGCCAGACGGCCGGCAGTCGCAGATAGGCTTTTCCTTCTTTCGAGTTTTGCGGGAATAGAATGAAAAGAGCTATAGTAGACACAAAAGCCTCTGCCTGTTGAGAGGTCGATGTAGCGACCGACTCCATTGATACAAACGTCGTGTAAGAGTTCGATTTATGTGTGACCATATCCACTTCCAAGGGAAAAGGCACGTCTTGAGGTTTCGACCACCTGACTTCAACGGCCTTTCGATTCGTATGTGATGAGGGCGAGAGGTCTTTATAAGTAATCGTACATCCGGTATCCCTAAAGCGCCATGAGCTTTCTGGTCTACCGCAAAAGGAGTGCCTACAGGTTCATACCTGGACTTGCACGTCTCTTCCAGGACCCGTCGAGGACTAAGCCCGGTCCATTTACCGAAGTCCCGCATCGTAACAGAAGCCTTTTTGAGCTCTTCTGTAATGATACCAGTCTCCAAGATTGGCTCTTCAGTCTCGAACATATCTCCAAGAAGATCAGCTGTATCTCCGTTATCGTCCATGGGCCCGGCACCACTCTCCGCCTCAGTCGACGCCCCGTCAGGCTTCCTGACCTCAGATTCCACAGGCGTACCATTTCCTCCGTCGCGAGCAACACGTCTGGAAAATGCTGCTTCCCTTCTCAGGTCATCAAGCTTCTCCCTCCACCGGTACTGGGCCTCGTCGCGGTCAAACAACACGTCATTCTCAATGCTCGCAAGTTTACGCTGGAGTCTCGCAACTTGGGGATCCTCTGTGGTGACATTTGCCTGCTCACGACCAGATTTTTTGCCCTTCTTTGGCTGATCGAACAATTCTGGTCGCAGGTCGTACAGCTTCGTCTGCAATTCCAGGAATTTTGGGAGCAACGTGTCAGGGTCAAGTGAGCTATCAGAGTCGTAGGGACTTGAGGCGATAGGAGTGATCATCTTTACATTCCTTGACTTCTTCGGCTTGTTGTCAACGTTCGTTGCCTTTGACGGCGAAGATTCTGACGGTTGGCTCTCTATTGGGCGTTAGCCTCTTGCACTCCGTAGATGGTCACGGCTTAAATTTTACCAGAGATAAAAGAAACGAGTCGTTCCGACTCATTGCGTGTCTGAGCGCTCGACTGTGTATAAGATGGTAGTTCCGCGGGAAGGCAGTGCATGGCAAGCCAGTCCAAAGACTCATCCAGGTTCGGGACCACATCTCTATTAGAACTTGTAGACGTACCAGGCAAGTAGAGCAGCACATGTTTCAAGGCCTCCTCAACTTTCGCTTCCGGGAACCCAAGTTTCATGAGCGTCTCCCGCAACGTCCAAAGTCTCATGTACAGATCTTCCTCAGAGCTTGACTTCTTCAAGCTAGACGGAGGGCTGATTTCGCGTTCTTCTGCTTCGGCAAGGCTGAGAATCAATTCCTGCACTTCTTTAGGAAGCCACTCCAAAAGATTCAGAGATACAGCCTGTTGCCGCAAGACCCTCCGCTCGGTTTCAAGCTTTGTGACTTGGCGGGCGGCATCGTTCTTGCATTTGGCAGCAAGCTTTTCAACCAGCAGCTGCAACTCTGCGTTCTCCAAATGTTTCTCAAGTTCCTCCGGCGAGTAGTTCTGTAGGGAGGAAGGCTCTCGCTTCTCGGACGGTGGCTGGCTCGGTTCTGCCGGTGTTGGTCGGTCACTCTCAGTGACTGATCGGGAATCAACGGTCGATGCAGGGGTCGTTGAGTCCACTGACTTTGGTTTCGAGGGTACAGAAACGGTCGCGAAGCCCCTGGCGGGATTCGAGGCAGGTTTCTTCTTTCGTTTGTTGTTGGGGGGCATGACTCAAGACCAAGGTCTGCCTCGCTCAGAGGGGTCACAACCGAGGCGCAATTAAGACCGATTCAACCCCACGAGCCGCACGAAAATTGGATTTGGGATATCTACGGAGGTTCTTGGGCCCGTAGGGTTTTTAGAGTGTGAATGCGAGCGTTGAATGATGAAAAAGTCTCCATGGGCGCGAGAGAGGGCCGATGATGTCGGCTGCGGTTGACGGAGCTCCTCCCCCACAACGTCGAAAACTCTTATGACAGCATTGCGGGAAGGCTTCTAGCGAACGCCGACATGCTCCAGTCCACCTAACATGGACGACTTTCCATGGGAACAGGTGAAATCAGGAGACCTGGAGAGCCTGCGAGACGCTCTCTTTTCGAGCTCGACTACTCGCAGAACTCGTGCTCTCCAGGAGCTCCGCGATAGAATTGGTAAGTTGGTTGTTGCTCACCCCTCCGAGTCAGCCCTTCAGCATGGACATTGCTCACGCGCTCTGTTCTTTTTCGACTTTTAGGCTCTGAAATACCACAAGAAATCCGTCAGTCTCTTATAGGACTCCTTTTTACAACCTATCCGCTCTACGTCGATCGCCCTTCTCGGCAAGCCGTCCAGCAATGTCTGCGTACGATCCTCAAGGCGCCCCTTCCGACCGAAGATTTGAAATACCTCACCCAGAATCTGCTCGCAGAGGCTTCTAAACCCGGATTGGCTCCATCTTCTGCGTTTGTCCTGCTGGAATGGTGCTCCCTTCTGCTGCAGATATTGAAAAATGACCCAGACACCCCTCTCTCGATCGTCCTGGACATTGTCGCTGTGGATGCAAAGGCTCTCGAAACCTGTCTTGCCGCTCGTCCCAGACCTACAGTGAAACAGTCTGCCCTTACTGTTACGAGACGGGCTCTGCGCGCCGTTTTCTCGTCAGACAATTGGGGCGAAGATGCTGTCCGCCAGTCAGTCGCTCGGTTGACTGGTGACTCGGCGGCGGGGCAGAAGAATGCGCCCTTCCTCGGTGTCATTTCTGGTGTATGTGCCCGCCTACCGAACAGCAAGGCTGTCCTGGAGAAAGAGAAGAAATTGATTCTCGCATACTACGTCAAAGAATTGATCGGCTCAAAAGCTGCAGTGCCAAACCACATCGCAAGTGGCTTGTCTGACTTCTTCGCCTCTTTTATTACCTATGAGGACTTCACATCGGAGCTAGTACCTCCTCTTGAGAAATCGCTCTTGCGTGCTCCGGAGGTGGTATTGGGTGGATTGGTGCCTTCACTATGCTCTTCTCTACCCGTGGACTTTGACCTGTCCGAGATTCTGTTCTCTCGGCTCCTGAAGCACCTTCTCTCCAGCATGAAATCAAACAATGCGACTATTAGGCAAGGTGCTGTGCATTCTCTTGAGTCCATTCTCTCAAAGTCTAAAAATGAGGATTGGCTTGTCAAGATCGCTGGTGAGATCATCGGGCCCTCAAGACCCAGAAGATCACTAGCCCGGAGCATCGTGCTGTGTATGCTCAAGCGGTCTGCGCTATCCTACCTAGTGAGAATGTCTCCAAAGACATAGTGCAAGGGTTTGCTCCTGTCTTCTCGCGGGAATCTAACGAAGTAGCATTGGAACAAGAAATCAAGGCCCTCTGCAAGCACCTCACTTTCCTCCTTCAATCCAAGGTGAAAGTTAGTGACGATGTCATCAATGCCGTCGTCAAAGGAATTGCAGATAAGCGTATCCCGTTTAGGAAGCTTTGGCAACTGATTGTTGGAGACGTCTTCTGGCGTATTGAAGCACCAACACTGGCAACCTCCGAGGTTGGACCATTTGTCACCAAGTTCCTCGACAAGATGAAGGATTTGTTCAAGGAGGTAACTTCAAATCCTCTACCTTCAGCTCAGAATGGCTCTTTATCCGCAGCATTTGTATACCTTGCCCTCTACGAAAGGGTATCTACAGCCCAGGGCTTAGATAAGGCGGACTGGGAAACCACTGTGGCACAGTCGATGCTCCTCAGCCCAAAACCTTCTTTTCTCCTGAACCCTAAGGCTTATACCAAATTGACGTCTCCTGCAGAGATCCAGTGGATGGTTCGCGCCCTTGTGGCTGTCTCGTCTGGATCCAAGTTCGAGAGCACCGAAGATGCAGCCAAGGTTGCATGGGCTCAGGCATTCATTTACGCTGTCACGGCTCCCGGACTTCGCGCGAATTTGCGTGAGGAAGCTGCTCACGCGCTTATGGGAATTTATCTGCGAAGGTCGGAACTGATGGGTCGGGTGGTCACTGAAGCTCTGTGGACGTGGATTCTCGCCTTGAGAACGGCGGAGAAAGAGTCTGCTGCATTGTCTGCAGGACCGGCGAGCGAGAAGCTCCTTCACCTCGTCGCGAAGGCCATCTGTCCTTCTGCCGCCGATATACAGTCCGATAAGATTCGATCTGATCTGAAGCATCAACTCGTTCAGCTTCTTGTACTTTGCAGGCCAGAACTGATTCCCAGTATTTCATGGATCGCACTGTGCTTAAGGACTGGCACAGATCCTGGTGTTCTTGTTCGTGAATATCCGGATGATTTTATGAAGCAATTGACGCAGGTGCATGAGGTTGGTCTTCAGTTGTCAATCCAGAATAGAAAACGGCATGCTAATTTGGCGCAGGACCCCATCCAATCGAAAGTCCCTGGGATTGATGCAGCTATCTGGAATGCTGCAGGGGACCTGGCATTTGTCGCACGAGACACTATGGTCCCTCGCCTGATTCGGCAGATCAGAGACGATTTGGATGCATCGCGTCTTTCTAGGTTCACACCAACCGATGCAGCCATTGCCCGCACCCCAGAGGGGACCATGTTCGTTGATGTCCTCAACACCAAGTCGAAGCAGCCAACATTCGACAAGAACACCAAAGACTACGACACCCTCAAATGGGAAGAAGAGCTGCGGGCGCAATTAGCTCAGAAGAAAGGTCAAACGCAGAAGAAGCTTAGCGCGGATGAACAAGCGAAGGTCAAAGCTCAACTTGCCAAGGAATCTAAGATCCGTGAGGAGGTCCTACAGGAAGTGAAGAGAGTCGAAAGAGGCGCCGGCATTATTCAGGGGCTTGCGAGCGGGCCCGCCGTTGATGCTGATGGATGGATCAACCCGGCTGTAAGCTCGTTGCTGTCTCTGGCCCGAGCTGGCGTGGGCTTGTTCGCGGGTGACGTCGTTTCCAAAGCGTACGTAAAATGCGCTGAGAAAGTCTCCTCGCGCCTAGGTCCTCTTCGCCCCTTCGTTGGTGTTGCGACACTACGAGCAATTGGCAGGTCCCATCTGCCGCCTGAGATGGAAGCCGAGCCACTCGGTGGTGAGTTTTCACATATCATTAGCAGTTCAGGCATCTATTGACCGTGTTACAGGGCTTGTTACAAGAATTCTTTATCGCCTTCGTTTTGCTTCTGAGCAGCGCCCATTCGACATGACGTCCTTGGCATATATACTTCCCTTGATATTCATGGTTCTGAGCCGCAATGGCATCGAAGAAGTCAAAGGGGAAGAAGAAGGAGAGCAGTTGCTTCTGGCGCTGGAGTTCGTGTCATTCCACTCCGGCTCATGTGAGTTCTGACATCTCTCAAGGAGCATGATTGGGACTGAGAATCGCTAACACTTCATGTACAGTCACTGACAACCGTCTTCCACGCGTTGAGGTCCTGAATCACCTGCTTACTGCCATGCAGAAGTTTACCCAGCACTACAAGTTGATCAAGGATACTCTCTTTGATTTCTGTAGATGCATTTCGTCCAACATCACCAATGAGGAGCTTAATGTTCTCCTACAAGGCACCATCATTCCAGATACATCCGTCCGAACCTCGGTCCTCCAGGCTATTGAGTCTGAAATTGATCTGACTGATCTCGACTTTTCCGAGCACATCTGGTTGGGCTGTCACGATCAGGTGGAGGAGAACGCGGAAATTGCTGAAAATATCTGGGAAGAAAATGCCTTGGAGGTCGACGAGACTTCCTACGGGAAAATCATTCCATACCTCTCTTCCAAGGACTCCCAACTCCGAGGCGCTGCTGCCCGCGCGTTGGGCCATGCAGTGGAGCTCAATCCGTCGGTTTTCGGGGCCATTGTCCAGCAATTGCAGTCGATGTATGAGGAGGAAGTGAAGCCCAAACAGCCCGCGAAGGACAAGTACGGAATGCCGCTCAAGGTGGATACGACTGACCACTGGGAATGCCGCAGTGGCATTGCGCTCGCTTTTGGTGCGATGACAAATAGTTTCGAAGGCGATCAGATTGTTTCGTTCCTTCGGTTCCTGATTGAAAGAGGCCCCTTGATCGACAGAAACTCTGTGGTGAGATCCCAAATGGCTGACAGCGGTAGATCCGTCGTCGCGTCGCGCGGCCAGCAGCGGGTTGAGGAGTTGATGGAAATACTGGAAACCACTCTGGAAACTTCAGACAAAGGAAGCGAGACATCCGATCTTCTCAATGAAGCAGTGGTTGTTCTCTACGGTTCTCTGGCTCAGCATCTCAAGTCGGACGATCCGCGGTTGCAAACAGTGATCAAGCGACTTCTGGCGACACTCCCGACTCCGTCGGAATCTGTACAATCCGCCGTCTCGGGATGCCTTCCGCCACTCATTCGTCTCTGCGGGCCAAAGAGTGGAGAGTATGTACAAGTGATGCTGGATCAACTGTTGCAGACCAAGAATTATGCTACCCAGCGTGGCGCAGCTTACGGTCTGGCTGGTATTGTTCGTGGAAGGGGCATCTTCACTCTGCGGGAGTACCAGGTCATGTCTCACCTGAAGGACGCCACTGAGAATAAGAAAGAGGCACATCAGCGACTGGGTGCTCTGTTAGCATTCGAACTCTTCGCCACCATCCTCGGGCGCACATTTGAACCATATGTCATTCAGATCGTGCCGCAGCTCCTTGCCGGCTTTGGTGACCCTAGCATCGACGTTCGCGATGCTTGCCTCGACGCAGCAAAGGCTTGCTTCTCCAATCTCAGCTCCTACGGTGTGAAGAAGATTCTCCCTACTCTCCTCGATGGTCTTGACGACACGCAATGGCGCAGTCAAAAGGGAGCCTGTGATCTCCTTGGAGCAATGGCTTATCTCGACCCCCAGCAACTGGCAGCAAGCTTGCCCGACATCATCCCTCCACTTACCGTGGTGCTTAATGATACTCACAAGGAGGTGCGCAACGCCGCAAATCGCAGTCTGCAGCGATTCGGTGAGGTCATCAGCAACCCGGAAGTGAAGGGCTTGGTCAATGTCCTTCTCAAGGCCCTGAGTGATCCGACCAAATACACAGATGAGGCTCTGGATGCACTTATCAAGGTCTCTTTCGTTCATTATTTGGATGCTCCCTCTTTGGCGCTTGTTGTCCGTATCCTTGAGCGCGGTCTTGGCGACAGATCAAATACCAAGAGGAAGTCCGCACAGATCATTGGCAGCTTGGCTCACCTTACGGAGCGGAAGGATCTTATCTCTCACCTGCCCATTATCGTTTCTGGATTGCAGTTGGCCATTGTCGATCCAGTGCCTACTACTCGTGCCACCGCCTCCAAAGCTCTTGGCTCACTTATTGAGAAGCTTGGAGAGGATGCACTGCCCGATCTCATTCCCAACCTCATGTCTACGCTCAAGTCGGATACTGGCGCCGGCGATCGTTTGGGATCCGCACAGGCTCTTGCGGAGGTTCTGGCGGGTCTGGGAACGACAAGACTGGAGGAGACACTGCCAACAATCTTGCAGAATGTCTCAAGCTCCAAGCCAGCTGTTCGGGAAGGCTTTATGACGCTCTTTATTTTCCTGCCTGCCTGCTTTGGAAACAGTTTTGCGCCATATCTTAGCAAGATCATTCCTCCCATTCTCGCAGGATTGGCAGATGACGTCGACTCCATTCGGGAGACGTCTCTCAAGGCTGGTCGCCTGCTGGTCAAGAACTTCTCTTCCAAGGCTATCGACTTGCTTCTTCCTGAACTTGAACGCGGTCTTGCGGACGATAGCTACCGTATCAGATTGAGCTCTGTTGAACTGGTGGGTGACCTGCTCTTCAGCCTCACCGGTATCACAGCCAAGGCAGATGCGGAAGAGGAAGAGGAAGAGGCTGCTCAAGCCGGACAGTCGTTGCTCGAGGTTCTCGGCGAGGAGAGGAGAAACAAGGTCTTGTCCGCTCTGTTCATTTGTCGCTGCGATACTTCTGGTCTTGTCAAGAGCGCAGCGATGGCTGTTTGGAAGTCGCTTGTCGCTTCACCCAGAACGCTCAAGGAGATGGTGCCTACTTTGTCGCAGTTTATCATTCGGCGTCTTGGTTCATCAAACATGGAGCACAAGGTTATCGCCAGCAATGCTCTTGGAGACCTTATCAAGAAGGCTGGCGAGTCTGTGCTCGCTACTTTGCTGCCATCTCTCGAGGAAGGCCTCCGTACGTCACCCGATGTGGATGTCAAGCAAGGTATCTGCATTGCCCTGAGAGAGCTCATTACCTCTGCGTCTCCTGAAGCCCTGGAGGACTACGAAAAGATCCTCATCTCGACCGTTCGGGTTGCCCTTGTCGATAGCGACGAAGATGTCCGTGAAGCGGCAGCAGAAGCTTTCGATGCACTGCAGCAGATTCTGGGCAAGAAGGCTGTTGACCAGGTCTTGCCCCATCTCCTGATGCTTTTGAGAAACAACGAGGATGCTGAGCAAGCGCTGTCAGCACTACTGACGCTCCTTACCGAGCAAACAAGGGCTAACATCATTTTACCCAACCTGATCCCGACGCTGATCACTTCACCCATCTCCGCCTTCAATGCTAGGGCCATCGCTTCCTTGGCTGAGGTAGCAGGTTCGGCCTTGACGCGCAGATTGCCCGCGATTCTCAACTCCTTGATGGACAACATCCTTTCCACTACGGACGAGGAGCATCGGGAAGAACTGAACAGCGCCTTCGATGCCGTCTTGGTATCTGTGGACGAGTTCGATGGTCTGAATGTCATGATGAACGTCATGATGACTCTTCTGAAACACGATGACCACAGACGCCGCGCCAGCGCTGCGCTCCATCTTAACAAGTTCTTCTCTGAAGCCGAGATTGACTACTCCAGGTACTACCAGGATCTGATTCGTGTCCTGCTCATTTCCTTCGACGACAGCGATAAGGAAGTTGTCAAGGCAGCTTGGACAGCACTCAGTGGGCTCACGTCTCACATGCGCAAAGAGGAAATGGAGGTCCTCACTATTCCAACACGCCAGGTCCTACGACAAGTGGGTGTGCCTGGAGCCGATCTGCCAGGTTTCAGCTTGCCGAAGGGTATCACTGCCATTCTGCCAATCTTCTTGCAGGGTCTTCTCAACGGCAATGTGGAACAGCGTACGCAAGCAGCTCTGGCCATTGGCGATATCATCGACCGTACCAATGCAAACTCCCTAAAGCTTTTCGTTACTCAAATCACTGGTCCTTTGATCAGAGTGGTTTCTGAACGTTCAGTGGATATCAAATGTAGGTCGATACCAGGCTTGCTTTCTCTTGCTTTCTGTATCTTTCATAGGACTAACCAGGACTAGGTGCCATCTTCTTCACACTTAACAAGCTTCTTGAGAAGATCCCGATGGCAGTCAAGCCATTCCTGCCACAACTGCAACGTACGTTTGCGCGAGGTCTAGCCGATTCTACCAGCGAGACACTGCGCAACAGGGCTGCCAAGGGTCTTGGAATCTTGATTACCTTGACCCCAAGGGTGGATCCTCTCATTGCAGGTAGGTCAATTAGTTTATGCGATAATTTGATAGCAGCCTTGATACTAATCTTTGACCAGAATTGATTACGGGTACAAAGACAGATGATATGGGCGTCAAGAATGCGATGATGAAGGCGTTACAAGAAGTCGTCGGCAAAGCTGGCGCGAATATGAGCGAGGCTTCGAAGAATGCTATACTTGCACTCATTGACGATGATGCCAGCGATCAGACTGGTAAGTTGAGATTTAAGCCTGACAAGATTCAAACGTTGCAGAGCTAACTGTTCAGTAGATGGTGTTGCTATTACGAATGCCAAATTGCTTGGTGCGCTGGTGAAGGTCCTTCCCGCGTCTACCGCCAGCCCACTGATCAAGTAAGGCTACCCTACTATACCGTTCAACTTTAGGAGTAGTGCTGACATAGTAATTCAAGGAACCGTGTGCTCACAAGCCATATGACACACGCATCCATTCTAGGCCTGAACGCCTTGCTGGTTGACTCACCGTCGTCTCTGACTGAGAATTACGCTGCCGAGACTCAATCGATCATTTGTCAGGGCGTCTCAAACAAGGATGTAAGTTACTCACTGGCCTTTCAGCGCTTCGTGGTTCTGACTTCTGTGACAGCCTTTCATTGCCGAGAACAGCGTCCTCGCTGCCGGAAAGTTCCTTTTGATCGAGGATGAGAGTCGCAATTTCGAGACAAACAAGGCCATCTTTGAAGCACTAGCGCCCTGCATACAGGCGGGCGTTCCTCCCGATGTTCGCCGTCTCACTTTGGTGGTCTTGCGAACGGTGAGCCGACTTCACCCCGAACTGACCCGGCCTCATCTGGCTCTGCTTGCACCACCGATCTTCAGCTGCGTTCGTGATGTGATTATTCCCGTCAAGCTCGCTGCTGAAGCTGCGTTCCTGTCACTCTTCTCGGTTGAGGAATCTGAAAGTGCTGTTTTCGACAAGTATATGGCTGGACCCGGGGCTGAACTTCCCCCTGGACCTAAGCGGAGCATGTCAGACTACTTCAAGCGAGTTGCGCTACGTCTCGCCAGCCAGGCTAGAGAACGGAAGGAGGCCGAAGGTGGACAGGGAGGACTGGGTCTATCCAATGACGAAGCTGAGGATGAGAAGGAATTGTGGAGCGTCGGAAAGGTCGATCTTGGGGAAGGCGCATTCGCCGATGAGTAGTTGAGCGCGGTTTACATTCAAGCAACGTTGGCATGAGCGAGATCTATACCCTCTGCATTCGAGTGTATAGTATAGAGCAGACTAGATTACAAAAGTAGCGAATGATATGAACGATGATTTTCTTTCTCGTTGAACCCTCGCTTAAGGAGTCCTCACTCACAGCGATGCTGATGAGAGTCACGTGATCTATATGGGAGAGCCCGCACCGGACGTGCGATTACAAGAAATCGAAAAAAAAGTCATCAAACCGAATAAGCCTTTGAGGCCTTTTCAATGCGATCCAGAATAGCATGTTCCAGGTATCTTTCCAGTCAGATATCATCATATCATAGGCTGCGTGACGTTGAGGCTCAATCCGCTTCCCCGGTCAGGACAAGCGTCCAGGGCACAAACCCTAAGGTGGACCCTCTCGCTTAGCAGCACAGTCGCTTAGCTAATCAACTGCCCGTATCTCAAACTCCTCACCTGGGAAATCTACCCGTCGACGAGTGCAACGAACATCATCCGCCAACGACCGTCGATACGCCGACATCAAGATGTGAGTTCCATCTCCATAATCCGATATTCTCCTTTCATGGGGAAATACTGTCAATTGATGGAATTTTCCTCCTCGATCAGCTCTTGGAAATGGCCCATTTTCGGGAAATTTCTCTTCCTGCTGGGGACTCTCCCCTCGACCGGTTCTGAACAACAGAAAGGCTGACCGTGTGATTTCTCGCTTTACAGGGTCAACCTTCGCACCCAGAAGCGCCTCGCCGCCTCCGTGGTGGGCTGCGGCAAGCGCAAGATTTGGCTCGATCCCAATGAGATGAATGAGATCTCCAACGCCAACTCCCGCCAGACCATCCGCAAGCTCGTCAGCGATGGCCTCATCATCCGCAAGCCCGTCACCATGCACTCCCGCGCCCGTGCCCGTGAGCTCAACGCTGCCCGCAGAATCGGCAGACACCGCGGTCTGGGTAAGCGTAAGGGTACCAAGGACGCTCGTATGCCCAGGTATGCACACTCTGCCTTTGTCAACGGTTGAGGAGGATCTTCGATCGGTTGCCACACTCCCTGCCAGTCGTCTGGGGGATAGAGAATGAAGCAAAGAGCCCTTACTGACGGATGTCTGCGTATTACAGCCAGCTCCTCTGGATGCGCCGCATGCGTGTTCTCCGTCGCCTCCTCGTCCGCTACCGTGCCGCCGGCAAGATCGACAAGCACCTTTACCACGAGCTCTACCACCTGAGCAAGGGTAACACCTTCAAGCACAAGCGCGCTCTGATTGAGCACGTAAGTCTTCCTCTCGATTCATGTGGTTGTTATCAATGGGATGCAAGGATAGCGACGAGGCGAATACAGATAAGAGGCTGACACACTGCTTTTTCACTCTTACAGATCCAGAAGGCCAAGGCTGAGAGAGCGCGTGAGCGCCTGCTCAAGGAGGAGATGGACGCCAAGCGTGCCAAGAACAAGGCCCTCCGTGAGAGACGACAGGAGCGTATCGAGGCCAAGCGTAACGCTCTGGCCGGCGAGGAGCAGCAGGAGTAAACCAAAAAAGCCATCTGACTTTTTTTGGCGGTGCGGAGGTTGAACTGGGGGGGAAATCCAATAGCCAACGGGAATCAGGTCGGCCATGTTTGTTTTATGTCTCTCAGGTCTGGCTCGGTGGTTTGATTCTCTGTCCGGGACAATTGATCAGGGGAAACCTGCAAGATATTTGATACCTGGGATCGGGAAGCAGTAAAATGCTATTCCTCTTTTTTCTCTCCCAAGGAAAAAGAGCAAAGAATGAGAGAGAGAAACCAAAAAGGAAAACAAAGCTTTCTTTTTCTTCATTTAAAGGAAAACAAATGGCATGGCGCTTTTGTGTGATATGAGTCTTGGAAATTTTTTTTTCTCTTTTTTAACCACCGCTCTACGGAGTTCTCTTCCTCTCTCCATCATCATATCGCATCCGACTGCTCCCCTCCATTCTGACCAGAAGACTGTCCGGATGTCCCTGATTCCCTTCTCCCCATACCCCTCGGTTCAACCTCGGTCCGATCAAAGCTGTTTATCTAATGTCGTCACGTCACCTGAATATCAGATTCCCGGTTCGGTCTACTACCTTACTCTTCAGATGTCTGAGATGAAGTTGGTGTTATCCACTTTGTAGCATTATCCCGCATCCCATATCGCGACTACTCAGATCCTTTTTCTGTCTACCTACGTGATCAGGTCTCCGTCGTTTCCGCATAGCCTTATAAAACCCTTGCCTTCCTGCAGCGGTGTGTAAATCTGTAGCTGTTGCTTGTCACTTTTACTTAATTATTGTATCGGATGGAATGGAAGGAGGATGTTCGATTCGTTATTTGCATTATTGGAAAGTTGAGCTGTGTTGGTCCTGGAGTTGCGGTGGATATATATTTCTTTGAGGTGGACTCATAGTTCACTGCGGAGCGAAGTGTAGGATGTCTGATATAAACAACGCCGGAAGGAGGAGTCACGGTCCCCTCGAGCCCCATGATTTTTAAGAAGTATAAAGTAGCAGTAACTGAATTTTTGATACAGAGTGTCTGCTAACAACGTATATTAAGTTTACCTGACGTACATTTACATCATGATAATACACTATTCTGAAATGATACCTACTAGAATTAAAGATGATGTACAAGAGCAAGAGAATCCCTGCAGCCCTGCTCGTCCTGTAGATAACATTCGCGTCTCATGTCACGTATCGCGTCGACCGGGGTTCGAGCGCTTGAGTGCTTGCGCCAATCAACCCCTGGGGAGTGGGCCAGAGCTGCGCTTGTGCATCGCGTTTGGAGGGACTTCCAGGTCAAACGGGTCGCTCCGGGTACTGACTCTTGTCACGGAATCATTGGGCCCAGGTGGCCCGAGATCCGATATGGATATCGGATAGCTCGCTCTTTGCACGCTGCTGCCAAAGCTACTTCGCCCTGGGAGAATGATGGTACTCCCTAGACTGCGTTCACTGCTGTAAATGGAGTGCTGGTCCTGGTTTATCTGGATGCCTGGCGAGATTGGTTTCTCGTATGAAGGCGAATGCGACCCTGCGAGAGTTGAAGCCTCGGGGCAAAAATGTTTGTCGCCTGGTGTCGAGTGCACTTGAGTTCCACTAATAGCGTCGTGTATGCGGCCACGCATGTCAAGAGATACGTCTGAAGGGTTTGGATTGGGCTCCGAGAGATGAGATGATCCTTTTCTGACATGAGCATAACCCATGTTCGGACCCGTCACATGATGGTCCGGAGCAGAAGGAGCATCCGAAAGAGATGATGTCCTGGACAAAAAGGCATGGTGCGAGCTTGCCCAGGAGTCTGCAGAGTGCCGACCATCGCGCAGCAGTTTCTCGCTCCCGCCGAAACTTCGACCGTCGCGCGGTTTTCGCCGTCTATAACGATAAATCAGAAAGCACATGAGGAGTATGATCGCGATCAAGCCCACAGTACCAAAGATGCTGCCCAAAATCGTACGAAGTGTATGACGGTTGCGCACGTCTTCAGACCCGTGATCCGAAAAGTTCTGCAAACGGTTCGTCGCGGAAGGAAATGCTGCGGTGACTGTATTCGATGTGGGTGTCTCGACCATAAACCCGGTCTCTGCCGTAGGAGTCGTCAGGACTTCGGAGCTCGACGGTGTAGTCGACAGCCCAGTCGACGAGAGGCCATCAGTCAAGGAGAGGCCAGAAGTCTGATTATGAGAGGTAGGAGATGGAATGGATTTGTGTGTGTCCGTGTTGCTCTCGGGATTTGGTGGAGATTCTGAGATAGAGGAAGTAGTTGGGAGGGGGCTAATTGGGTATCTGAAGGAGTGACGGCGATAAGAGACGATAGCGACACTTCATCAGCGGTTTCCGTACTGGATGGTAGAGTTGTCGTCACGGGTTCTGGGTCTTGTACTGAGACTGGCAGGATTGGTGTAGGCTCTGGCACGACGGCAGGCAATGTTGCCGCTGCAATTGAACTTCTGGGCACTTTGGTACATCTCAAGCCCTGATATAAGATGATAGAAGGACTGGACATCGACATTGCGCCAAGCCCACAGGCTGGACAGATGCGACGGTCGCTCTGCTAGAATGGAAGGCTAAGAGCGGTAATTGCTGGCATGCATGAATCGATAGTGCTGAAATGATGAATAAAGACCAATATGACAAAAGGCACGGCGCGTAGAATGCCAACAGCGACCAGAGGTCAACAAATCAAAAGAACAGTGTAGTGGCCGTCGGAATCTAGTCCAGAGCGAGGGAAGGAATGTATAGGAAATGTAAATGCGCTATATCTTCATGACTGACGTTTCACTATGCCCCGTGCTAGGAGACGAACGCATTGGTCATAGCAGTCCGGGCTCGGAGGGGCTGCATTCGCGTTGTGCCCTGCTGTTTCAAGATTCAACGGTGAAGCACAGGTGGTACACGAAAGTTCAGCGTAGCATTCTGGTCCACTTCGTAGTATATATATCGATTCCGAGTAGATTGATATTATGAACTCACGAAAAAACGGAGAACAACAGGCAATGCCAAAAGCCTAAAGAAATAAGGGGGTTCGTTCTCAGCTCAACCGCGTGTGTTCGGTATCGACCGGGCGCTTATGGGGAGCGAACAGCGACAAGGATAGAGTTGAGAGGAACCGAGATCTAGGGCTTATTAGTTATTAGTAGTTCGTAGTACCCAAGACGGCAGAGTTCAATCGAAGAAGAACCTAAGCAGGGGATAGGTGGTCCCTGACTCGAGGAAATTCATCCGGAAGAGATTGAGTGAGACAGAGCCCAACAAGCACGTCCAATCCTAATTATCCCATGAGGAACTATGCACTGATCACTGCGATCATAAATTGGCAGGGCGTTAGTCTGTCGCATGGGATGGAAGCGAGAGGCCCCTCCCCAACCCCTCACAACACGCCCAGTCGCTGGAGACTCGTATCTTCATTTAACCATGATTCAAGGGAGAGGTAGCAGCTGCAGATGGGAAGTGGTTTGATAGCATGTTGGGGTCCTATTCCTGAAGACCGAGGAACTAGACCGAAGCCCATTAAGATTGGTGAACATGATGAGCAAGAACACCTGCTGCCGATCCATCGAGCCTGATCTATCAAGCGATGGATGTTTCACTTGTTGAAGCCGGGGAAACTCTACCTACACGGAGAAAATGACATATTTCCTGATTGGGCCATAAACATTAGTCATCTACTAGTCTGTATGTGGTTTAGTTCTGTTTATGCATCATGTGATGTAATCAGCGGTCCGACTATTATCCTATATGACAGCCTCAGGCAGCTTCGATGCATTGGCTTGTACTCCGTAGTCCGTACTCGTATGAAGCAAGCATACCTAGGTACCCTGAGTGGCCGGTGAAGCAACATAGACCGTGTTGTTCTCATTAATTACTCTACATAACTACTACTTTGGACATGTCAAAAATATCATTCTTCCAAGGCATAAATAACACTGTGTGCTCCTGCCCCTCAAAGCGGGGCAGTCGATACATCTCCAGGTGGAAGCCATAAGAGCACTTGCAACCTGATGTGGAGAGGCGGTCAATATATAGGGTTTATGAATGGTCACATACAATTGCGTAGTATCTACTAGACGTCTCAGAGTCTGCTGGCTGAGTGACTGTTATACAGCGCGTGAGATGGTTCCAAGTGTACTCCTGGTACCTCTCAGTGTCTAGATACCTTACCTCAAAGGAATTATATACTACATCCTACTCTACTGGTCACACTAATGGCTCTCTCGCTTCCGGACTGATGAGACTTGAGAATGGTGATAATAAGGAAAGGACGAGAATAACGGTCGAAACCATGAACTAATGCTGATGTTAATTCGACCCACCAAGGACGAAGATTATCACTTTCCCCTCTTGAGTCTTGACAGTGGCTTGTTTTCGTACCTTTTACATCCTTGGCCCCGTTGGACATGCTACTAATTCCGCTCTCTCCGCAACCACAATCCAACTTCGACAACAAACCATTCTTGCAATTCCCCTTATACTTGTGTTGTGTGGTAAATCTCATCAACATCAACCACTTCAGTCAATGAACCGACCGTCAGCGAAAGAATTCCATCATTGCTTTTGGTCATGGTAATTCTAGTCGGTCAATTGAAGCTGCCGCATTTCCGTTCGATATCCCGCGATTTGCCCATATACGGAGGAGCATGTGATTGATTCTTCATCTGATCATTTTCTTCTCTTCTCAATACATTGGACACAATCTTATCTTGTTCGAGCTGGATACCCGCACGTTCGCTTCAAAGGAAATACCAAGCGCAAGCCTGACCAGTATGATGATCGGTTGGACCGGTGGGTTGGGTAAGATTTCCCCTCACTAGTTGTCACACAGAAATCGGTGGTATATACAAGTATACCTTATGATACAAAAACTTCATCGATGAATGCCGCTATGACAATGATGCCGTCAATGCTCAAAACCAATGGCTGCTATGTCTGCGTGTCAAGCAAGCACTACAACCTGAGCTCCCTGGCTTTGGGCTTCGGCATTGCTTGAATGCATAGACTCTCCTGGCATGTCAATACTGGCATTGACCATAGTGCTAATGCCGCATAGGGTTGCCCACGATGGGGTCGCCGCCTGAACAAGAAAAACGACCCCGCCTCCTCCAACAAAAATCGACTTTCCAGTCTATGACCTGTTAGATGTCCCGGACGACACATCGGAATCGTCGCTGAGGGAGATATCCGACCTTCTAGCGTCAATCCGCCGGCCGCAGGACCTCTCGACAGAGAAGTTGAAAGCCTTCAATCTCAGAATGGAAACAAACATTACTGCAGATCGCATTGTCCCCCAGGGCTCAAAACTCTTTCCTCCGCTCCCTTGGGAAGCTCGTATATGTAATGAGACTGAAGATGGCGAGCCGATTTTGATGGACAATGGTAACCCATACCCCGCGGCAGACCGATTCGAGATTCTTAAGAAGGAACTGCTCTTGGACAATGATGATGCTTTCCGAGAAGTTACACGATTACCGCCCAAGGAGGGCCGTCAGCGGGTTCGTGTGGCTAATGCAAGGAAATTTTGGACGGGGCTGGAGCGAATGTCCCAGTGGTGGGATTCCAGCCTGGACAATTACTTCGAGCGCCCTGCCACCCGTGAAGTAGCGTCCGGCGAAGACAAGATGCAGACAGATGGCGAACCGCAGCCGTCAGAGATACAGGACTCAACAACTACGCCAATGGAGGTCGACAACCCACCAACGACACAGGCCGTCGACGGAACGTCTTCGGATCGGGAAGAGGGGCAGCAAGCGATCGTTCAAAGATATACCGGCCGCCGGATAGGTAGCGGACAGGAAATGCCAGAGGATGTTCGGGAGGAGACGGTGCGAGCGCTGGCTGAGATGGCCGCCTGGCCATTTGGTTGCCAAGTAATTGTCCCGATGCTGCCACCGCGACTCACCGTCAAGAAAATCCTCTTCCCCATCCGACAGTCTTTCCAGGCTGCCCGATCGCCCAAAGACCGCCAATTGGCCCGTAGCGGTGTCATGGAAGGCCCTGTCTTTGTTGCCCAATGCAGGCCGGAGACCTCGTTCCGAGGACCTGAAGACGCACCAGGGTCCGGCGTTGGTGAGGTATGCGACCTGTTTCGGGAGCTCGGTGCCATGCTTCTCGCCGCGCAGGAACGCGCGAGGCAGGGGACGACCGAAGAGAAAGCCGGTGAGGGCAAGTGGTGGGCAACCAAACCGCGATGGGGTGGAGCGACCCAGGACACGCAGGACAACAGCAATGACGAGGACCAGCCTGTGAGGGATGGCAATGACCGCAAGCGCTCTAAGTACGAGCACCCATTCCTCGCATCCCGTCGCGCGGGCTCCGGGCGGAAGCTTAGCAATGCCGAGAAGTGGAAGATTGTGCAGCCAGGGCCAAGTCTTTGGGACAAACGGATGAGGTACATTCAGATTGGGAAAGACAAGGACAGTCCATTCGACGATGTATGCTCGATCACCAATGACAGGCGCGAACTCATGCTAATCCTGTTCTAGATCTACATGCTCTCCTCCATCAATCACCACGTTGCCATTCTTCACCTTCGAATCCACCGTCGGTATCTGGACCTACTCACAACAGGCGAGAGTGACTTTCCCCCGGAGACCCACACGCTTGACCAGCCCTGGCAGGTTCTCAAGCTTCGGCGAACGAAATGGTATGACTTGTTTGACGCGCAGGAACGTCTCGAGGTGTTTCAGGGCTTGTGGACAATGTTCCACTACCTTTTGCGCAAGCAATGACCGTCTATGTCCGGCGCTTAGACTTACTTCTAGCGAGAATCCATATGCAAGTTGAGCATCACCACATTTACCAGTATGCGAGCACGATATCTACGTTTCGGCAGAGCACCTAGAGCACACGCGTTCATCATCCTTATGCATGTTTAGATGAAATCAAATCAAGCTAATTAACCTGACGCAAGGAGAACCGAAAGACCGTCAACCGCAATATATCTGCAAGTTATATCCCCTTACATGCGGTATATCATGTATGAAGGCTGTGTGCAGTACGCAATCATTCCAAATATCTCCTGTACTCAACATACGTAGAGCTATAGACAGTGCAGTCAGCTCTATGTGCAGCTTTGCAGCACACAACTTGTACTTACTCTACGTCCTGCGGAGCAAGGAAGTAATAATTGTCATGGCTGCGGCTATGGCCGTCTACCCCCTGAAGTCGAATAGGAGCACGCAGGACCACCCCGTCAGCTTCCACCCACTCCCGAACCCGACCCAAAGACAGACGAAGCCATGTGGTGCGGCTTTGTCCCACGCGGCCCAGCACACCACATTCACAATCACATTCGCGTCTGTGCTGAATGCTCGAATCCGATACCCAGAACTCAACTCTCAAGACCCAAGACCCAGGAGTCGAGGCTAGAGACTACAATCCCTGGATATGATGCCTCCCAGGGATTCTCCAAATCAGTCACCATGCAGGGAAAAGTGAGGCTCCGGCGATCATCGCCTTCGCCTCGGTTTCTCGTGTTCGTCATCTATCTAGGTCCTATAGTCGTAGTTGCGTGGCTTGAGCTATCCAACCTAAGGAGGGGGAAATGATATCCGGTTCCATTCACATTGGAGGTGTTTTATGTCTTCGGGGTTTGTGCGGGGTTGCCTTGTGATGATCGTCGCCTGTACCTCCCTATTATCATCCACTTCGTTCCTGTGAGTTCTGATAGAATAATCTAGTACTCTAGTTCAATAATGAAGACGAGACGAGAGCAAGAAAAGGGTGGTACGAATTACGAGATCATCGAGGTCGGTTTTTGGGCTGACTCCAGGACACATGGTGCCGATCAGGGGCTGGAGCATGCATTTCCCGTACTTTATACCCTGCACTGAGGGTTCTATCTGGCCAATCTCTGCAGTCATAGCATCAGAAGAAACTCAATATAGACGGCAACATGGTAGCACCGTACTTCTGCGCGGTGATCCAGACCAGTCCATCTGTGTGCATTGCAAGTTTGCAACTATGGTATTGGCTCTGGCTCGGAGCTAGACTACTGTCTTGTCCTTCCTGAAGAAGTTTCAGCCTTTTGATTTCATGATTGATTTCACCAGTGTATGGCCTGTGGGCCATAGCCTATGCAGCTGGTCCTGACGCTGGATGGTAAGGCTAGAGCGCTTGGTCCATCTGTTGATCAAAGTGAGGATGGTAAGAGTACGCTTGGGCCATTGGCGGTGCACAGTGCGCAAGAAGTATCAAATTGAGCTTCTCTACCTTACTCCATACTGACATGTTCCATGGTTATGGTAGATAGTGTAAGGACCAGGGTATTCACCTTGCCATGTCGCCGTAAGGTAGCATAGATGAATAGCCTCGGAGTCATGTATATCATATCTAGACATGCACCTCATATATTATAGCAAGCAGGGACGGACAAACACCGGAACAGTATTTGATTACTGAATACTGCAGAGGTACGTAGGTTGAGCCGGAGTACACCGTGCTTTTTGTAAAATGAACATGTCAATACGGTTACATTCGGGCCACAAACCCCTCACGCCTGTCGCATTGAACAGTGGACAGTAGAAAGTGACAGAATTCCATTTGAGTGATGAAAATGTGATAGATCAAGTGGCTTGAGGGACCGCGCTTCGGGTCCGGGCTGACTAGTAAGTATTGGGGGTTCTTGCGGCTAAGGATAAAATCTCTAAATACGGAGGACCACTGTAGCAGAGTGATCAGCACGACAAATGACAATAGTCAAAACTACCGTACGGAGGGAGTGCGGATATGACGATCATTGATTCTGGCCTCTTCCACAGATGCCGTTACTGTCATAGGGAATGGGTTACCCGCGAAAGCATGTTGAAGCCTCCCGAGCCCGTCAACCAGGTCGGTGGATCGATGACCGACGTGAGGATTCGGGGGTAGGTCACCCCATTACTGCAACTGCAAGGTATTAATAATATCTAGTTACCTAGTATCTAGAGTAGTCGAGTACGCAATGGGCTGTGGTTAGTCCGTAGCTACAGCCTATGTAGTCCATGCGCAAGCCAGCTGCAGAGGACTCCATACTGCGCAACTGGTCAGTTTATACATCCCACCAGATAATCAAATATGCTCTCGGTCAGCAGGAAATCCTACTCAGTTTCAGATCAACAATCATGGAGAGCTGTTGCTCATTCGCCTCTCCTAGAAGAGACAGTATTTAGATACATGGTCGTCGGAAACCTTGACCATGACCGTTCAGGTTAGACCATATGCATGTCTACATATACAGCTAGTGGCATCTACCACATCGAGAACGAACTGCGCAATTGATAATAATATATCGCGCATCAAGACGCTCTAAATCTCTGATAGATATAGGTGTTGATTATCTAGAGCCGTGAGAATGATAGATTGCTTCACCTGCTGCGCTTCCACCAGAGCCTCAAGGGCCACAACTTGACGCTCTCCAGAGATAGATACATATCTGACATCCGATGCAGGCTATGCACATGCAGCGGCATGATCAAGCGATCCGAGCTCTTGTCTCAACTACCGATCAACCTCTCAGGTGTCGCAAACCATGGTTCATCAGTCTGATCGGTCGTTTTGTGGTTGCGTTTGTGCACTCTGTAAGAACATGCAAATGGTCAGGATGGGACTAGGACAGGTGACTGATCGAGTCAGGATGACAGTAAGGTTCACCTAGAAAAGGGAAGGTAGGATTGTGGAGAGTTAATCATTATGAGGGGTTACATTCATCAGTCAATCTGGTAGTCCATTCTCCATAGGAGTCGATAGGTCATATAGGGTGATTGCGGAGTATGCTAGAATACCCCGTCTCATAGTGTTCAGTCTGTTGCGCATTTGAGATAGATGTGCGCCGTCCATGTGTCGGGTTTTACTTCCATATGCAGCTAGATATGTTCACGGTGTCGAAGAATAATGCTGACTGTTCCTCTTAGTATCGTGGCAGTACTCTTAGAGGATTATTGACAGGGTATCTGTGTCAATGATTAGGCTTAAAGGATCAGGCCAGCTCCTTGGGCCATGATTCGGACCTCTATTGTCGAGAATGATAGAAGCAAATCCTTCTGCGCCAAGCCATAGGCTATCTACCTGGGCCCAATTTGTAGGCGGGCAGCGGGCTGTCCCGCTGCATCACACTTGGTACGGGGCAATTGTGGCTCCCCTAAATAGTGTTGCTGATGAATATCCAAAACTGGGGATGAACCAAGGTTGAACCGGATGTGCTCCAGCTACTCCAACAATCAACATGTCAGCGTGTCCACGGCTCAATTGAGCATCCTGTCTCGGTCTTTGACTCGCTGACCCGCGTCAGTCTCAGAGTTATCCGATACATGGCCAGGACTGATGAGAAGTGGCTCTAGCGTCCAATGGCGGCGCAAGTCTTGTTCCTGAGTCCGGAGACCCAGATAAAGATTTTGGTTAAGCAATAGCCGCATTTCTCCCGTTGATGTGCGATTAGCCGGTAAGCAGCGAGGGAAGCGACTTGATGAATATGCATCTTTCCAAAGACGTTTGCATCCCAGGAAATGCGAGTCAGTTGAGTTGCTATAGCATCAAACAAAGTTAGTATCGCAAACACGGTAGTCGTAGTGATAGCGGTAGTGCTAGTTAGCAAGGATCTCAGGTTGAACGACAGCATGCCAGCCTCTCCTTCTGGCAATCTCAGTCCGTGAGGTAGGATACTCGTAACACCGGAGCAAGAGCCACGGACAAGGACAACTAGGCGTGGCAGCATGAGTAGAGCTAGAGAGCTCTCTACTTGGTTGCACTGCTGGTTTACCCCATGCAGATCCGAGCCAGCAGTCCGCCACACTGGGGTCCTGAACAGGACAGGGCTATCCCTTGCTTCAGGCACCTGACCATCCTCCGGTTCTGTCATACATACATACATTGCAGTATGCATGTACATCATCCCCGCAACATGGACGTCGGACGACGGACGCTTCCATTCCCTTCATTCTGACCCGATGCCTTGTCCGCCGTTCGGGTGGGTACTGTAGATCTTTGTCCTGTGGGGTATTTAGTTTTCAAGCTTACAGAGAAGGAGGCCTGAACCGAGGGCTGTACTACATACTCTCTGTTCGGGCAGAATTTGATAGCATTCATCCTTTGCAGTAAATTTGCGTCAAGTCGCCTGTACTGTGTACATTGTTGAATATGTACTGGAGTGTTAGAAAGTTGTGGACCGCCTGTTTCGGCTGAATGGTCCAACCAACAGATATGATGCTACCAACCGACGGAGGTTCCAGGAGACGGGATCATGGAATTTTAGGCAGACGATCCACAATTCGATCAGTAGGTAATTTCATCGGGACCTGATGAGAACTAGACTGCATCATATCAACCGGAGGCAGACACAGGTAGAGCGTAGAATATCATATGAGAATATCGATTGATTCAGGAAATCATTTCCTCGGGAAGATCATCAATCAGCTGGAGTGATCGACCATAGTTGGACGTTTGATGACGATAAGGATATGTAGCATCGTAGAATAACATCGTAGGAATGAAACTTGTTTCTGGTGTTCTACGTTCTCCCCTGATCACACAGAACCACTTTGGTAGCGAACAAAGGAGAAGTGGCAAATGCAATCAGACCATGTCTTTAGACCTGTTGGTCTATCAACATGTCCTAGACTTCGCGCCTCTCCTATTTTCCGAAGACAAGATGATCCTATCAGGCTATTCACCGTTCTAATGAACTAGGGATTTCTCAAAGGATTCAGTTCCATAGAACTCCGGTTTGACTTTATGTGCTCAATTATGTCTTCAAGTTTGGCGCCCAACACTTTTGAGTGCGCTGTGGAGCTTTGACCGGGCTATCATTGCTCGTTAAGCGAGGGGCGGCATTCATTGCACTACGGAGGCGCAAAATATTTACCTGTCAAGTGATGTTGAATAAGCTCTGCAAATACTAACTGCTATGAGCACAGCATCGAAATCTACATCTGCCTTGCGGATAGAGAGGAACACCCCTGTCCTAACCTGAGTTCCACTTTCAGATGTTGTTTGCCGAACGTAACCCGAGATCTGAGATGGAGCCAATCCCGCGGTGAACCACAACCACAACCACTGCCAGAACGCGTGACACCCGTTCCCGTAACTTACCGTCTCTTCTTTCCCCGTGGTTGGCAAAGAGTGGTTGTGCCTGAAAATGCGGACGGAACCAGGGGACAGCTGGCAATTTTATTTTGGCCGGGTTGCAGCGCGTCAAATTATAAACGGAGGGATGATTCGGCTCTGTATGGCAAGTAGATGGTGGTATGGATCTGGGAACTGATGCTGTGTAGGTACTTGGCGCTCCATACAACAACATTAGAACCCTACTGCAGCAGCCACGGAGCAACCTGATGATTCTCACCGTCTTCTGCGTGGGGCATTTATGCAGCACACTTTCAGGGTCGCATCATGCATTCCTTCTTCTCTGCTGTTGTGGGGGCCCTCCCCCTTGGCTCGATCAGTATCAGTATCAGTAGGAGTATCCATCAGAATTATCTGCCTATCAAGTCAAATGTTTATCAGAATACCGGAGATAGCTGTGGATATCCACCTTCGCTTTCTGAAGCAATCGCTCCATGAAGCTGTAGTTTAGACTTCAAGATTGAGTTTTACAGGTCGATGGAGACGAAAATAGGGAGCCCCCTTGCTAGTCAATAATAATCAAAATGACTGACCGCAAAATGACACAAAAACGAATTTTCCTAAGGTAGGTGGTAATGATCATTTGATTTGAATGGCAATTGGCAGTTTTGCTGTCCAGTCAGATCATCACCCAGTAGCACACTTGGGAGGAAGGACGTCAACCGTTCGATCCGTGGCTCCATCAGCGCCTGGGTACGTAGTCTAACCCGAGTCTCCTCCATTCCTGGTCTGATCTCTTAAACAATGTTTGATTTCGGCTGATGGTCATGCTTGCTGATCGAGAATAAAAATGTTAAAGGCAATGATGAGCAAGTCATGGATATTGACGGAGTATATTCGGGAATTGGCCAAGTGTGTCTAGCGCCCACTAATGGATCCCGCCCCCTCCGAAACTTGGGTATCAACAGGACCGTTTACCTTAGGTTCTTAGGTATCTACCTTCACTCTAGTCTATACTAATTATCCTCTTACCAACCTCATCCCAGATGGTCGGTTAGGAATAAGACTTGCTCTGCAAACCCAATGCCGATAGTCAAAGATGAAGAGCTGTCCTCAAACGGTGCGGGAACATGTCCCCTCCAGCCCTCCGTCCTCTTCACTCCATATCTTTCCTACCTACTGTCCATGTGGCATATTTCAGACAGCTCATGAGCTACGCCGTAAATAGTGGCGGACCCTCAGCTACAAAATAGGAAATTGAAAGAAACTCAGATTCGGAAAACGTCGCGGAAACTTTAATCGTTATCTATTTGCAGGCTATTCAGGAGACTCAGAACGAGTAGATCGATATATGGGAGTACGGAGTACGGAGTTTCTCTAATGCTTCTGGTGGAAATGAATTAGAATTATTATTATTATTATTGCGTCCTTCAGCCCGCCCATGATCCCGCACATCAGCAGACAGCTTCGCTCCATAGCTTCGGTTTTTCCATTAATATTAGTTTTGTTAGGCTCCACTCCGTAGAAGTAGGTATTTGCATTTCCACGCTATTTATTTACCTTATCATCATGATTGCTCTATGTTTTATTTTATTTTATTTTATTTCTTTTCCCCCCAGTGTAGCAGTCAAACACCTCAGGAGAGCAAAACCGAGACAGCTCCCAGACCTGGAGGCGTAAAATAATGAGGAACCCCAACAAGGACCAAAAACGATCTGTCAATTCTGGTGGCTTGTGTTAATACATGCGAACCAGGATCCTGGCTCAGGTTACAAGTAAGAAGACCCAGTCAGTCAGAAGGACGCGCGCGTCAAAAACGAAAGAAAGAAAAACAAAAGAAGATCAAAGAAACAAGAGACACGCAGAGAAAAGTGTGCCTTTCTAGTTCTCTGTATTTCTTTAGAGTCGGAGGTTCATTACCTGGATTATTATCTATTTACCTCAGGTACCTAAGGTACTACTACTTACTGACATTCCCTCCACTCAAAAGAGATCCTGAGCCAACCGAATCAACCGAATCAAAGGAGAAGAAGCACAGCTATTAAGGCTACTGCTATCAAGGAGGGGCATTTTCTGGCATCCTTCTATGCCATCTCCTCATCAGTTTTTTGTCAGTACCAAGAGCACCAACAACATCTCGACGGCCACATCTACTTTCTCTGATCGCTTTCCTTCGATCTTCTCCGTCGCAAATCTACGATATTCACCTTAGACTAAAAAGGCTGTTACTGCGATTCCATGGTGAAAGTGTGGAACTATTGAACAGTCAACAACACACCCGCCATTTCCAACCCCCTCCTTCTATCTTGATCACGGGGATTATCGATCCTTCATCCTCACTTCCATTTTCCACCTTAATAATCATATTTCCGCCCCTCGAGTCTCCAACTCCTGCTCCATCCAAACCGGCCTGCCCTTTTGGGGCCATCTCCGCGTTTCTTGAGCATCAATACCGTTACCATTTCCATTCGATAAAAATTTGAGGTGATCGTTATTATTATTATTCGATATTATTATTATTTTACTACATCATTATTATTTTTTCCTGGAGCTCTCCCTTCCCGATACCTCAAGCTCTGCCACCATTTGCTCGATCGACTCTTGACACAACCAGGGCGACCCGACAGCTTGGCTTACCTACCTAGCTAAACAGCTATCCATCTCCCGAAGGATCGGAGTGGAAAAAAAGGCAAACCTCTGGCGTCTCCATTCTATTTGAATTATCCTTTCTGGATGGATACCTAGTCTCTTCTTGTGTAAGTGTCCCATGATTCCATCATCATTTGTTTTCGATCTTCTCATCCTTTTTGCCTGTTTGCTTCTCTTCATTTTCTCTTCATCCACACTGCATTTCATTCACCGAGGTGGGTTGTTTCTGTCGTTATCACCATCGTACTACCTTACCATCTTTCAGTTCTTACTGGCTTTTGGACTGTGCCAGATGGATCTATGAAGTTACCGATGTGTACTTTCTTCTTTTCCCCGTCTTTTCCCTCCAAGCGGAGTCAGTGTGATTTCTTATATTATTGATGCCACCACATGTACCCCCAATCCTCCACCCTGGTCAGCTCTATCTGAAGCTACTAAAAAAGTACCTTCTTCCCCTGCCAACAGCTTACCAGGGTCAAGTGCCCACTGCAATTAGTGTGGCCGCAGATCTCTTGCTCTTCTCTCTTCCCCCGTTGCACTATAACAGGCTTGGTACCTTTGAACGGTCCCGGCTACTGTGCATCCGCTTTGCTTTTGCTGTCCGTTCCTGCTATCCTTACCCATCTCCTTGGGTATCCCGTTGCATTAGCCTTCCTTCGTCCTCTGGCCGCTCAATTGTCATTGCTTCGATTATTTTCTTGTCTATTTTCTTGCTTCATTTCTTAATTCTCTCCTAGTTAACGGATTGCTGGCTCTTCCTGGATAGCTATCGGAAAGCTATTCCACCGTGCCTTTGCGCGTTCGTAACTGCCATCGCCCGTCAATCAATACTTTCCCCAAACTGCGCCTTTAACCGTTCGATTGCATCGTTCGGAGCTACTGGTCGCAAACGCTTCAAAGGAAGATATCGATCGAAAAGAGGGACGGAAAGAAAAAATAGAAGATTGAAACGCGCAACGCAGACTATCGAGAGCTAAAAGAATTTACCGGCTGAATTACCTCTTTCGGGAAGCTCTTGAGCTTTGTCCAACTCTCGCTGTCCCTCCACCCCACTCGCTCACTTGACATTGCACATTGTGATTTCTGCGGGACTGCAACATGTCCTCATGACTGTATGACTGTCGCACTGAACAGACCGTTCGTAGCGGATTCACGGCAACCTGGAGTCACCGGCCGGAGGTGCGGACCTACCATTGTCGAAATGATTGGAACGGACGATAAGCCACAGGCGCTCCCTCCTTACTCCGGCCCTCCCCCCCTCAAATGCATCACCGCATTCCTCCTGAGGCGGCGCATGGCCTGGCAAATGCGCCGGGAGCATACGATCAGCCATGGCGCCCCTACCCACCGTCCTTCGAGCATCATCACGCCGAGCAGCGACGGGCCTCCAACCCCCCTCAACCTTCCCTGCCCTCCCACGGGTATCCTGTCATACCGAATCGAGAGTTGCCTCAGTTGCCTCCCGAAGGGCCGTATGGTCGGCCAAATAGTTTGCCTGCTCCCAGTCTCACCCCGACAGAGTCGCATCCGCCTACTTTTCGTCCTATGAATGGAGCTTCGCACGATTCCATCCCCCATTCAGCACCGACGCATCCAGTCCCTCCTCATTCGGCGCCCCCGACTTTCGTCCGCGGATGACATATCCCCCTCAGGAACAGAGCAGTAATGGCGATGCCCCCCTCCCCCTCCTCCAGCCCCGCATACGATGCCTCCAGCTCAGTTTCCGACGCCGGTCCCGCATATTTCGCATACTCCTGCTCCCTATGAGGCGAACTATTACCAGAATCAAGCCTTTGGTATGCGTCAGCGCAAGGCTGCCCGGGCTCAACAGGTAATTGACTGTCTTTTTCCATGGCGCAGAGAAACGAGACTGCGCGGGATACAAAAGGAAATAGACTAACTTTACGTTCTTTCCATTGTCTAAAAGGCCTGCGATCAGTGTAGAGCAAGAAAAGCAAAGTGCGATGAAGGGCGGCCCGCCTGCAGCCACTGCAAGGAGAACAATTTGATATGTGTCTACAAAGAAGTTCCCCCTCACAAGTGCGTGACCTGCCTGACTTCTGTCCTTCAGTTGGTTGGTTGTCGGATACTGACCCTCAAGATAGACAGGAAAAGGCCACCCAGCAGATCTTGGACAAGATACAATATCTGGAAGATAAGCTTGACGAGCGTCTGACGCATTTTCAAACGGTACAGATGGAACATGGGATGACGCTAAGTAAGATTTCCAACGAGGTCGGATTGAAAGAGCCGAAAATTTTGGCTGTCAAAGATGCCGCCCGATCAATGCCGCCCAAGCAGACACTTGATAGGTTGCTGAAACCAAGTGCTACTGATATTTTGCTTGAGTCAGAATCAAAGAATGGAGATGGAATGCAGCAGTTGGATTCAAATGATCCTCCAGGGCAGAGTTATGTGGAGAGAGAGGACGGTGAGCTGTCCATCCCGGTGGAACATACAACGGCTGCCCACAAGTTGCTCTCCTGGCCATCAATTAGGAATCTACTCTATCCCCGCGAGTACGACGAGGATTATGTGATGAAGCTTGAAGAGCAGCGTGGCTTGATTCGCGTCTATGGCCGTGGCGAGGGCGCCGACACAAGTGAGGATCGCATGTCGCCAACCCCATTAACTAGCTCGAATTCCAGCAGCGGATGGGATGATAGTCACACGCACCGAGCATCGCCGAGTAGTCCTTGGACGCAGAGCTCTCATCCCTGCGGTTTCCCGCAGAAGCTTCGAGACAAAGGGGTTGACGAGTTTGGTACTCTATGGGCCGATCCGGACACCATCCGTCGCTATCATCGCAGTTACCTGGAGCACATACACAAACTTCATCCCTTCCTCGACCAGAGTGACCTGGATAAGAAGATCGAAATGTTCATCAAGTTCCATTGCTTACCGAAGACTTCCGGATCGACGCCTACAGGGACAGGCGACATGCCCCGTGGTGCAAAAAGAAAAAGGTCATGTGATACTTTACAAGGTGCAGCGTGCGATTTTCCAACTTCCGCTGGCGTTAGGACGGAAGCAACGAGCCGTCGCATCGAAAAGTCAATCGACAATGCTGTTCTCCTTCTCGTGCTTGCGCTGGGCAGTATCTGCGAAGTGGGAGCACCAGTCCCCGGTCCTGTCACGGATAACCCCCCGGATTTTCGCAAAGAATGGATCCCTGGCCCACCCACCCGGAGCGTCCTATCTCCCGCTGGATCTGACATGATTATTCCAGCGCAGGGGAGCTTCTACGCACCGCACGCTGTCCCGTCTCCCTCGCCTGTTGACGGTCGGAGAAGTGTCGGAGGGCGGTCAGCGTCGTCAGGTCGAGACGTGCCTGTCAATCGACATCTCAGAAATGTCGATGTCATTCCAGGTTTATCTTATTATGCATATGCCACGCAGATCCTGGGAGGCCTTCAAGGGGCCAATGGCTTGCTTCATGTTCAAGCGGCTTTGCTCGCAGGACTTTACGCCGGGCAACTAGCGCATCCTTTCCAGAGTCATGGATGGATATACCAAGCCGCTCGCGCTTGCCAAGTGCTCGTCCGATCGTAAGCTTTTGTCTAAAACCGAACTGAACCCTCAAGGTGACTTGCTGACTGCAGTACCAGGAAACGCTATGACCAGATGCAGGACGGGCCTATGAAAGACCTCTACGATTTTGCGTACTGGACCTGTCTTCAGCTTGAGAGGTATGCTTGTGATGGTGTCACTGTCAGATCTAGCCTGCGGGCCCAACTAACTCCATATATAGTGATATTCTTGCAGAACTTGATCTCCCCGCCAGTGGCATATCTCGTGCAGAGTCACGTATAGGTCTACCAAAGGGACGCTTCACACTTGCTTTGCCAAATGAAATCTGCGCGCCCAGTACCATGATGATGTTTTTCTATTCTGCCCAAATCCACCTCCGGAAAGTCCTTAACCGTGTCCACACCGATCTGTACAAAGTTGAGAGTAAGGCACCCAAGACCATATCTCCAGGAAAACTGCTAATAATATCTCTATAGGACAACAAGGCTCCAACAATGCAAACCCGGGCAGTGCTACCAATGCCGCTAGTTCTGCGAGCGCTGTCAATGCTGCAATCGCCGCAATCACAGCTAATCCTTCCAGCAATACTACAACCACGAGCAGCTCGAGCAACAACCGATGGACCTCAAACGTGCAGGAAATTCTTAGCATGAATCTCGAACTGTGGCGAAATAGTCTTCCAGAGATCATGAAATGGAAAGACACTGATCCCCCCTCGGACGACATAAACGTTGCTCGTATGCGGGCCAAATATTACGGCGCACGATACATCATCCATCGTCCTCTTCTATATCATGCTCTGCATTTTGCTGGACTCCCCAATCCCAATCCAACTGCCGCATCAGTCGAGTCACCCGCCGGATCCGTTCTCTCTGGCCCGAAATCTCAGCAGGTTTCGCCCTCATTACCGCATAGTCAACGGGCTTCAAACATGGCACGTCTGTCGAGCGATATGGGCATAGCGGTCCATAGCGCCCCCTCTTCCTTTCAAGGAGGCTCGATGGGCACCATTGCATACCGAGATCTACCGCCTAAGCTACGACGAGCCTGCAAAGTGTGCATCGACTCTGCAATCTTGAGTACAGAAGCCTTTGATGGAATCGAAGGTCGTCCGATCGTGACAAATATCTTTGGAACTGCTCATGCGCAATTCGGCAATATGCTCGTGCTGTCTGCGACCTACATGTCCTGTCTCTCAGAGCTGGTGGACCGAAATGTGCTCGAGAAACTTCTCAAGCGAACAATCAAATTCCTGTTGCAAAGTCGATATATCTCCCCTAGCCTTCGAGCCGATGCACGGATCCTTACCGAAATCTATGAGAAGATTTTTGGAGAGCCCGCCACGAGTTTCTCATCTGCCTATAGCTAGGTTCATACAGCTTCTCGTATTGCTGCTTGAGGGAAGACCGCCTCAGATCATCGCCTGCACGATATCCTCGCGGGTCGCCTGGAAAGGTAAAGCTCGTCACCAAAATGGGGCTTCTACAAACACCAACTATCCATTCTATACCGATCCTTCGAATCTATTTTGTTTTCTAGGACATATCGACTCAAACCTCTCTCTCTCCCGTCCTTTGTCCATGCTCTTTTCTTCGACCCGTGACTCCCTTGCATATTCTGATGTCTGACATGGCACGGTTCATATATAACATACATACATAGGTGTCTTGCACGGCGGTTCTTTGTTTTATTATCATTCATTCTTGGACAGGGATTCAAGACCTTGGGTTATTCTTTTTGATTTAATTTGCTGCGCATTGGGAACGGATGGGTGGCTACCTGAAATTATTCTGATCATATCGGCATTATCTAGCCTCGGATCTTTTTTGTTTGGTTTGATACCTTGTTCCTCCTTGTTGTTCAAACGGCGCTGGTTACACCTTACCATTGTGACTGGAACTGGGTACCTATGGGAGGGATAGTGTCGTTGCATTTTCAGCGAAGCAGGGTTGATGGTCGCCAACAGACCTGGCTACCTTCATTCTTGGACAGTTGGACGGCCGAATATCGCATGCGAGATTGCTCAAAGTCTAACAGATGATGTCGCCAATGGCTGGGGATGGAAGTGATGGTGTGCGACTTTCTGCCGTATTTGGGTGTTATTTGGGTCATTGTCTTCATTATAAGAGTTCAGGTTAGGACCTGTTTGTCGAATAGCCTACGTTACGCATTCCAATAAAGACTTGCGTCTCAGGAGCACTCGCCGTGCGTGATGCACAACAGGGACGACAGTGTGACTGTAGAGATGATGGAAAGACTTGTTCCTGCTCGGAGGCTATCCAAATTTTACTTGTACAACGCAAAATTCGGCAAGGTAAAAAGTACCCGTGACCAGCGAATTACACCAATTATAACTGCCAATTGTAGGACAATCGTTCAATGGACGCTGAATATCTAGCATTTAGCAGTAGCATGCCATTGGACAGGGCAGCATTGGCGAGGGACGTAGAGCCCGCCTCGGCTGCTTCTGAAGCTTTCCCCGCAGTCCCTTGCTTGGACGAACAGCAACAACCATCATGCTCCGGCTCGCCTATATATGCAGGTCACTCATTAAGGAGGTCATGCTCGGGATCAGAGGATCCAAGGGGCCGTTGTCCAGCATGATCTGATTATTAGATGGTCTGCATCTTGAAATTAGAGGAAAACACTTTCATTGATTTTTTACTATGGTGACACCAAGAAAATGGCTCTCACGCGAAGGTTGGTCTGAATACTTCACATCCCAGATGTCCACTGTTTGCTAGGCTATTGGTCCTAAAGGAGCGTGTGCTCTCGGAGGATAGGATTCACTGCCGATGTCTTCGGAAAATGGATTCAGAGCACGCTTCTGAGTCCCTGGAAGACGCTCCCTCTCCTGCTGCTGGCCCAGTACACCGCGAAGGGCCACCAACTGGCCCTCGAGCACCCGCGATTCTTCCAGGTCCTCCAGCTCCTCACCTTCCTCGCCGTCCTCCGCCGTCTGAACGCCTGGCTTAATACCCGGACCCTGAACAATGGCGTCTCGGACCGGTTCGACTGGAATCGCGAGGTGGTTGTGCTGACGGGTGGCAGTAACGGGATAGGCAGACGGATCGCGCAGCTGCTTGGGGATCGGGGCATCAAAGTCGCCATCCTGGACATCCACCCACCCCAGGAGGACCAGGGCCGTCTCCCGCCCACCGTCCGCTTCCACAATTGCGACATCACCTCGCCCTCGGCCATCGCGGCCGCCGCTGCCGACCTCCGCGCAACCCTAGGCGAGCCCACCGTCCTCATCAACAACGCTGGCGTCTGCAGCGGCAAGACCATCCTCGGCGGCACGGCGGCGGACACCCGCATCCAGTTCGAGGTCAACACCCTCGCGCACTACTGGCTTGCGCGCGAGTTCCTGCCGCACATGGTCAAACGCGACCACGGCATGGTCGCCACCGTTGCCTCGCTGGCGGGATACACCACCACCCCCAATATGGTCGATTACTCCGCCACCAAGGCTGCGGCGATTTCCTTCCACGAGGGGCTGGCGGCGGAGCTGTTGATGAGGTACCATGCCCCGCGGGTGCGGACGGTGCTGCTCACGCCGGGATTCACGCAGACGGCGCTCATTGGGCGGTTAACTCCGGAGGATACGTGGTTTAATCCGCTGCTGCAGCCGGAGACGGTCGCGGAGCAGTTGGTGAGACAGATCCTCACGGGGAATAGTGGGCATGTTGTTGTGCCAGGTTCGTCAGGATGGCTTGCTCGGAACGTGAGGAGCTTTCCGCCTTGGTTCCAGCATTCTGTGAGGTCGTGGTTGGAGAGATTGATGCGCGCTGATTAGAAGCTGGGTTACTTTATGACTTGCTTGAGCTTGGTTGGTTGCTTGGACTGTTTGGTCCGCTTCTCTAGCTGATGCTGTCTAGGGCTGAGTGAGACTTTTTAGTAATCAGTGTGCGACTACTGGTTGGACAGGGCGTACTTTAGCATTGTGCTTTTAATGGAACAAGTCTGTGGCCAGGTTGTTGCAGCTATGGGAGAGGCCTGCAATGAACACCCGAGGCGGAATCTACGTTTCTAAGTTCAGGTAGCCACAAACCTCGAGTGATAATGAGGATGGCACGAATGACACACAGAAGGATTGATTAGGTTCCACCATAGCAATCTTAAAATCAGTAAATAAATTGTCCACTTCAGTCCTCTGTAGCCACACATAATGTGAAAAAAAGAAAATTCATTACCAGCCTTCTGGCCTAAGGCTACCATATTCTTCTCGTGGTCCTCGTTGCTGCTCGGCACGTGCAGCCAACCAGCCTCCCCAGCCTCACCGCGATTTCATCGCTTCTCACTCACCTTTCGATTCAGTCCTGCAGGCGTTCTTTGCCATCTCAGACGTTTACACGTTCAGGGGAATTATCGTCCAGTCATCATCTTGGATGGATTCTAATTATCATATGCATCAACTCGACTCCCCACATTCTTACGTTCATCATCATTCTGTCTAACTTCAACATCATCATTATTATTGTTCCTCGGGTACTCTAAACTACTACAGATCTGAACCGTGCCCTCGCGGCCTTAGGCGCTAACCGCCCACTGGATCGCCTTGGCAGCGGATTGTCTGGAGCAACCACTCTTAGCAGCAAAGCTGACCCAGCGCTATCATCCGAGCGGTTCAGGCTGGGGCTGCCGACGAAAAAGAACCACGGCTCAGCTCCGTTGCTGTCCTTGTTTACCTTGCGGAAAACAACAAATCCATTATCCGTTCGATAGGTTCTCTCGAGCTGAGCTGAACGGCCTTTTGTTTCCACCTTGTTCATGCCATCGTCCTTTAGCATCACGAGTCACGAATTTGCTTTGGTCCCTCCCTCAACTACCTGATTAATCTATTGATTTAATTTGCGATTTGGATTGATTGACTTAGTGCATAATTACGACGATTGTTATTCCTTTTCACTCTCGACCAGCCGACCAGCCACCAGCTCCGCCTTGAACCATCGAAGCATTCCCAGGCTCAACATTCCGATTTCCACATGGTCGTCTGAGCCGCAAGGAGCATCATCTTGATCGCTCTTTTCAGCCCACCATGTTCAGGGCCCTGATGGGCGGGGGCCGTTCCTCCGATTCCCGCAGCACAACCTCCAGCTCAAAGAGCAGTAGCCGCCGCCGAACGAATTCCAAGGCTTCTTCAACGGTCAGCCACAAGTCCTCACGGGGTGACGACCGTGATCGTGGCTTGGGCGATCTGTCGGCCTACTCTTCCTCAGGCAGCCGCAGCAAGCGATACGCTCCCAGCGCAGCAGGCGATTCTGTCGCTTCGAGCTATGCGACGGCGGATCCGGGCATATCGGTCGAGCACGATCGGATTATTGTTGAACGGACACCCAAACGCAGAGATACCGATGAAGAAAGTGGCCGCGATCGATATTCCGATATCCGCGACAGGGATGGGCGCAGTTCTCGCAGACGCGACCGGGACCGATCGCAGAGTCGTGAGCGTGAACGTCCCCGGTCAGAGAGGAACAATCGGGCGCAATTAGAAGATGACAATGTAGAGTCTCGCGACCGCCGTCGGGAACAGTCACGGGCTCAGTCCGGCGATACCTATTTGCCGCCTGTTTCCACATCGATGCCCATTCAGCCAAATTCCCCCTTGGTCTATGACCCTCATGTCCAGCAGCAGTTCCCCGGTCAGTTCCCTGCTTCTGTTGCCGAGCCATATCGGCCTCCGAATCCCGCCGGCGAAGCAGCCGATTATTATGGCGATCAGGGACAGTCTGTTGCGGAGCAGCCAGGTGTGCGTCCGAAACCTCCATCCATCATTCCCAACAGCCAGGTGCATCTCATGACTGCGTCGCCTGTCGCCAACCCACCACCGGAGCCCAGCAGCATGGGCCAGATGGGCGCAGCCGCTGCGTACTTTGCAGACGACGCCGAGCTCGCGGTGGATCCAGCGCCAGGACGACCGGATCGTCCAACTGCTGGAGCAACGTCCAAACCTCCCAAGCTGTCTAACGCTACATTCGGTATTTCAGGGATGGCGGCTGGAGCTGCTGCCTATGGAGCAGGAAGCAGCTTTCCCTTGCCGGCCGGCCCGACATCGCCTCCGGAACCTGTCCCAACGACTGCTCCATATGCCCCTCCTGTGACATCCAGCACTACCAAACCGCCCCATACCCATGGTATCGGAGCGTCTGTTGGAGCGGCAGCCGCGGGTGCTGCAGCAGGTTACATGCTTGGCCACCACCAGCACCATTCGATGTCGAGCACCGACCATCTATCCCAGTACACCATGCAGAATTACGACGAAGCTTCACAGCATGGATTCGGAAACCCAGGTCCGACAATCCACAATGCACCGGCCAATCCAGCATGGTACGCTGCTGGAACAGGAGCAGCCCTGCCGTATGCTGCAAG